CTCAGGTATTTGTTCGTTCTCCCACTTTATTATTTATAATGTATTATGGCTCGAAAAGTAAATAAAACAAATCGAAGTATCTATATTATATTGTACACGTATTTTTCAGTTCTTCTTCAGAAAGTTCCATATAATTAGTCACAGAACGAAAAAAAAAGTATACAATGTGGTCACCGCTTAAGAAAAACAAACGAATTAATGGAAAACGTTTACAGAACTGTCTTTTGCATTATTTAAGTTTTCTGAGTGTAAAAATAATAAATAATCGTATAGAAGCTAAATATTATAAGAACTCTTTTATTATTAACTGATTGAAAAGTGATTAAGTAAGTGAGTGATTTAATAATTAATCACGGATTAATTATTTATATGTTTATAAAAAATAAAATTATTTATATATTTATAAAAAATAAATATTACAGTACACAAATACATAGATTAAGAGAAAAAGAAAATAGGTATAATATACAAGCAAAGAAAAAAAAAAAGAACAAATCACACTTAAAATAACAGCAAGTATATTATATATACTACAGTTTATGTAACAAAATTGATTAATTCTAAACCATCACTTTTTAAAGTTTTGTTTTTGAAAATGGCAGATAAACAACAAAAATGAACAGAATATATGAAAATATATCGTGAAAGAAATTGGAAAAAAAATTAGAGCTCAAAACAGATTATATTACGCAGAAAATCGTGAAGCCATTTCGGCACAAAGACGCAAAAATTATATAGAAAATCAGGATATAATATTGGAACAAAGAAGTGAAAATCGGGATGAAATATTAGATAAAAGATGCAGAAATTATGCCGAAACTCGACAAGTTATTAATGATCGAGTCAATAATCGACGTCAAAGTATTTTAAATCGACTATTTTCGGATCTCCAAATTTTGTTTATCCTAAGACCTATAATCTTGACCCTTTGAATCTTGAATGTCAGTATTGTGAAGCAGTTCGTTTTAAGGATAAATTGAAAAGCATGTGCTGTTACAATGGCAAACTATTTCATGTTTCTGTTCAGAATGGATCTGAAAATTTTTCTATTGTATTAAAAAACTTTTTCATAGGAACTAATACAAAATGTAAAAATTTTCACGAATTCATTCGACAATATAATAATACGAACGCTTTCGCATCGATGTGCATTCAGACTTAAATCAATACTACTTTACAGCCAAATTCCGTTCAAAAACTTATTCATCAGCCATCTTATGCTGAATTGAATGTTTACGATGCGGACACTTGTATTGAGATTTGAATGGCAGACCCCACGAATGCCCAATATCTTCGTGATACTGTGATTACCATAAATGTAGTTTTAAATGATGTATCTTCTTATACCAATTGCCACTGTAAACTTCGAAAAATTTATGAAAAAGAACTATCTAATGCGAAAGTTATCGGTTCTTCTATGAAAAAGATATCTTTGATTTTCACTCGAAATCTTCATGATGATCAGAGGGTCTATAATGCATCTCGAACTTCAGATGATGTTGCTATTGTATATGTAGCTGACTGTGATGATAATATTTCTGCTGAACTTGATTTTACAGTTCAGCCAGATAATTCAAATACTCTGAAAAGGATTAATATGTTCTCTAAGTATCTCGATCCTATGATTTTTCTACTTTTTTCCCAAATGGTGATTTTGGATGGACCACAAATTTGCCGCATAATATGGATCATGCCACTAAAATATGAAATAAAGGAACGATACTTGAATTTTACTCAAACGAAATTGCAATTCGTCGAAATCATTTTAATCCTTTGTTCTATGGCGGAAAATTATTTCAACAATATTTAGTTTATGCGTAGGTTCGTTATGAAGCAAATCGAATAACGTATATCAGAAATAATCAAAAGACTTTATGTGTAGAATCGTATAAAGGTTTATTAGATCACATTAATAACATCGGCCGAGATAAAAACGCCCGTGTTGATAATATATTTATTCTTCCTTCTACATTTGTAAGTGTTCCCCGTTTTATGTCCAAATTATAACAGGACAATATGGTGATGGTTCCGAAATTTGGTCGTCCTGATTTATTTATTACTATTACATGTAATCCTAAATGGGAAGAAATAAAATTCGAACTTAAACCATTTCAAAATTCATCTGATAGACCAGATTTAGTAACCCGAGTATTTCGTTTAAAATTAAAAAAATTTTCGAAGAAATTTTGGCATACATATACGCTATAGAGCATCAAAAATTCGGTCTTCTTCATGCCTATTGTTCATTTACACTCTCCAATGAAGATAAAAATTAGAACAGCAGACGACGTTGATAATATTATCTCTACTGAATTACCGGATCGATATGTACAATTCGAGTTGTATAGCGTAATTTTAACGCAAAATATTCATAGACCATGTGATCGATTAAACCCTAAATCAATTTGTATAGTTGAAGGATCTTACTTCAAAAATTTTCCTAAAGCCTTCTGCAATGAAACTGATGTATCGACAGATGGTTATAAAATATATAGACGCCGAAATAATTCTAACGAAGCTCATTTTACACGTAATAATATTCAAGTAGATAATCATTTTGTTGTACCATATAATTTATTTTTAAGTCTTAAATATAATGCTCATATTAATGTTGAACTATGCTCAATTTTTAAAGCTATCAAATATATTAACAAATCTATTACAAAGGGTTATGACTGTGTTCGAATCGGCATCCAAGTAAATTCAAACAACAATGTAGAAAAAGTTGTTGATTATGACGAAATCAAACAATATTTAAATTATCGTTATATTAGTTCTCAAGAAGCAGCTTGGCATCTTCAAGATTTTCCTATTCACGGTCAATCTCATAATGTCGTCTTGTTGTCTATTCATTTGAAAGATGGCCAATTCATCTTTTTCAAAGAGAATCAAGCTGAAACTGCTTTGCAACGAGAGTAAGATATTCCTAATCATTATGTATTTAAAAATATAAAAAATGGGTCAAACATTCAGAGGTTTCTCGTCACGGAGAAAAACCAATCGGTAGAATTATTTCTACATTTCCCAGAGATGTAGAATTGTATCATTTTCGTTTGATTTTGCTCTCAATGAAAGATTCTGACACTACATCTTTTGAGAATCTTAAAAAATTCAATGGACAAACCTATTCGACATACAAAGAAGCAGCACGAGTTAGATGTTTAATTAATGATTCCAATCAGTGGCATAATTGTATATATGAAGCATCAAGTTATATGATGCCTAAATCTTTACGATCATTATCAGTTACAATTATTTGTCATTGTAATTCCGCAAATCCTTTGCAATTTTTCGAAGATTTCAAAGAAAATACGATTGAAGATTTTATTCAACAAGGAAACAATGTAGAAAAATCTCTAAAATTATGCGTTAATGATATATGAACGCAAATTCAGCAAGATAGTTTCGATTTTAATCAATTTCTACCGTTTTCTAATTTCGAAGATAATTTAGTTAACTATGCTGTTAATAGTAATAATTTATTATGAAATGATCTTAATAGTGATCAACTTTTAGCTGTGAATACTATTTTAAAATCGATAGTCAATTTGAACTCGCAGAAATGTTTTTATTTAGACGGACCCGGTGGAAGCGGGAAAACGTTTTTGTATCGGGCCCTAATTCAAAAAGTTAATCTCCATTGGTAAAAAACCATTAATCGTTGCATGAACAGGAATAGCTGCTACTTTATCACCAGGTGGAATTACATGCCATTCAACCTTTAGTTCACCTTTAGACCTTCTCACTGTAAAATTTACTAGACTTACTCAAGCCAAAAAAGAATTTTCGAAATCGATAGATTTGCTTATTTGAGATGAAGCTTCCATGATACCAGGTACAGCTTTAGAAATAGTTGATTTAATATTTCAAGAGTTGATAGATGTTCAAATACCTTTTGGTGGAAACGTTGTTGTGTTAGAAGGGTGACTTTCGGTAAGTTCTGCCAGTTATTAGAAAAGGATCTTGATGTGTCATTATTGCTTCAACAATTAAAAAATCTTCTGTTTGGCCTCTTTTTCAAGCATTCAAATTAAAACGCAATATACGAGCTACCACAGACCCTATTTTTTCTAAATGGTTCCTAGATATCGGTGATGGAATGATACCTTTACCAGCAATATCTAAAACCCAATTTTCAGTTGAAGTTCTGATTTCTTTAATATCTAATGACATAATTACAGATATTTTTGGTAATAGTTTTACTTGTATTGATGTTGGAAAATTTCAAGGTGCGAAATTCTCTGCCGAAGGAACGAAGAATTACGATTACTAAATGAACGCGTTTTGATAAATTTAAAAAATGTTGAACAAATGAGTCTTTACGCGATTGACTCTGCAAAAAAATGATGACGGTGTAGACGATCATGATTTACAAGTCAATATTCCAGTAGAATTTCTAAATACTCTGAATTCATCTATATTCCCACCATATAAATTAAATTTAAAAATCGGTTGTATAGTAATGCTTTTGAGAAATCTATCGATAAACAAAGGACTATACAATGGAACTAAAATGATTATTAGAGCCTTTTGTCAAAACGTGCTTCAATTAGAAATTATTACTGGTGCATTTTCTGGAACTGTTCATTTTATTGCTAGAACTTCTCTGGATACATTGGATGATAAGGCCAAACTTTTGATAAAGTTGGCCTCTTTCTTCCAGAACCATGCTTTGCTCACGGTCAGTTTAATACAGGATCTTCAAGAGCAACGATATCTAATGATTTAAAAATTCAAGTAAAAGATATTACTAGACAGGGTAAAATTGATCATTGGCAAACAGTAACACATAATGTTGTTTATCGGGAAATTTTTTCATGAATTTCATATGTTTAATGTTGTGACTTTATAATTTTAGAGTGTGGGTGTGAGTGTTAGTGTAGATTTGCATCTGTGCTCTCTCCACAGTCACAGTCACACCCACACATAATGCAGTTCGTTTGCGGAATTTTGCGGAGAGTTTAAATTCAAGTTTTATTATGTTATTCGGTAGAGCATATCATCATCTATCTTCAATGGATGCGTAAAGATGTGAACTTAAAATCTTATCGAAATATTTGATTTTTTCCAGTATCTTGTGGTACAACGCCGTGGCACCTCTAAGATTCACCTGAAAAATCAACTTTCGAATTTCAATTTGAAACTTTCTACAAAGAAAGCTCTCAATTCGACTAGTTTATTCTGAAAATTTCAAATTCCTCGATTGCTTCTATCCTTAAATATGAACACTTAACATTTTGTGCTATAAGTCATGTGAAGAAAGATACTTTTTCTTACACTCGTATCTTATGATAGAAAGAACCTAAAAATCTGAAACTTTCAGAATAAACTAGTCTCATTGAGACCTGTCTCTGCACAAAGTTTCAAGTCAAAATTTGAAAGTTGATTTTCCATGTAAATCTGAGGGTAATTACGCCGTTGCGGTAAAAAATGATGTAAAGATCAAATATCTCGACAGAAATAAGTTAGTAGCACGAACTTTTTTTCAGGATGTTCATAGCTCATTAGAGCCAACATAATGCACATAGTCTCGACTCAAAAGCTATTCGGTACCTGAGAACTGCTCTTGTCCCTTTTTTTCTGTCCATCTGTGCCCAACACACCCATACTCGCACCCTTTTGATACTTTTGTACATGTGATTGATAGTGTTCTCTATAAAAATGTCAAAATCAAAAGTTTAAGAAAATCGCACATAACTAGAGCTTTACAAGCACGTTCACTGCTAGTGAGAAAATCAGTATCTGTCGTAGGCAATGAATCATAACGTATAATCGGTTATCGACAACAGGGTATGACTATGGAGTATGGATAGCAGTCTCGTCATCAACAACCACATACAAATCAATATCCATACCCATACTCAACTTGATACATATTTTAAAACAATGATATTAGAAGACGACAATGATCATATCATATGAAATTGTAACGTTCAACTTTATTAAATTTGAAAATAATTCTCTGAGTTCTTAATTATTGAAAGTTAATGAAACGCAATATGTTAAAGTTCTGAGTCGTTCTTACGAAAGTTTCATGCGTTTTTGATCGAGATCTATTTCAGTTGATTGAATCTTTCTTGTGCCAAGCCATACAGAAACCATTCGATAATCTTTCCAATATGCTGAATTCATAGTATTATCATCAAACCATTTAATGATTTCTTCAGAGAAATTTGAATATCTAATGTCAAATGCTATTTGTGTCAAATGATTGCATCTATTGAGGATTATTTGTATTTGATCTGTACTGTTGATTGGTATTCGTAAATATTTTACATGATATGGAATAATATCATGTATCTTTTCTATTGCCAAATTTAAATTGTATCTATACATACCAGTTTGAATAATTAGTGCAGAAAGATTATAAGCTTGTTCAATGAAACTACGAATGTCCGCTAACACATTTTGATTGTATTCGGTAAAATAAGAGCTAAACAATGTCATTTGAACTAGTTGAGAAATATCGATAAAAATAGAAAGATATTCAAGAGGAAGTAATGGCCACTGATCGTAAAAGTGAAGATTAACTTTAGTTACGTTTGAAAACATAATTTGACTCGTCGTTGATTTCTGAAAATATTCAAATGAAGATACTATTTTAGTTTAGATAAAACGACTAAATTTTAACTATTCTTTTTTGATAACATAACCATTTTTCCTATATTTAGAAAACTGATTAAACAAGCATCAGGCCATATACAAGGAAAAATCTATCACACATCATTTGATGTAGGGTGGGGTATTATGATATTAGTTGATATATGATCAAATAGCATAGAAAGATAGAGCATGCTTTTCTCTATCAAGAATTACAATATCTTTAATCTCAAAAATCATATCTTTCGATACTGCACGATAGTGTCAAGAAATATAAGACAGTTTTTCATCATAAAGAACAAAATTTCATCCAGTGAATAATGAATGAAATATTCAAGTACACTGACAATCTGAGATTGTTTTTATTGTATAAGATCTTATATAGTTAACATCAATACAGAATTCTTTTCTGTCAAATATTTTTATCTGAGTTCATTCTATTTACAAATAGTGTCAGAGTTTTATAAATTTCTTTGAAAAATAATGGAATACGATAATATTCGATAGAATTCCTTACTTTTTATAAATTGTAAGTAAATCTAACCGAATCCAACTACTTTTCAAAGAACTTTCTTTACAGGTTTGAGGATAGTCCTTTAATCTTTGTTATTTTATTTTGATTGATAATTTTAACGAGAACGAACTTAGAAGGACGAAAGATGAAACTAAGGTTCATTCGTTATTCCGATATATGATAAGCGAAGAGAAAATAAGTCAAATGAATGTATAACTCTAGTTGAATAACATACTTTCTCTTGTATATAATTGGCTAATACTTTATTTAAATATAGATAGAGAGAATTGACATCATTATATATGCATTGATGATTGCTCATTATTGTGGTACTATTGAAAAGTGCATTTTTATATAATTCGATATTGTAATTTAAACAAGATTTGCATATTGGTATTGAGTAAAGATGAATGATGTTTGATCGTGTATTATCATATGCACAAGCAACAAACCATTTTTTGTGTTCAATCCAAAATGAAGTTCGAAAAGATGCAATAATTAGTTCAAGATCTTCTGAAGTTTTCTTTTCTAAACTCCAATAATCAAAATAAAATTCAAATTTATCTAAATTAGGTAGATTTATTTCAATGAATTGTTCCCATCGTTTTCCATCGAATATATATTGTCCACCAATAAGTTTTAAATATACAAGTGATGGTGTTAATGAAATAAATGGTTCCAATTCACCAATAGTCATAGAATATTTTTCCATAGTTAATGATGTCAACTGTGGAAAATATATTGGACGTGTAGATTTTAAAGATACATTTGTGATGATATCTTCAAGTTCCTGTTTCAAAATAATTTTGTGTAAATGAGGAGAACATTGAAGTATATTCGAAAGATTATTCATAGATATATTTTCATTTATAATCAAATATTGAATTGAACAATTACATGGCCATGAAAATTTTGATATTCTTTCATTTTTTAAATTAAATTCCATTTTTCGAAAATTCAATTGAGATACGATTGATCGAAGATATTTGTTGGTTGTTTGAATACGTCTGTCATCATATCTTTTAATATTGAATGAAAATGAAGTAAGTAAATTAAGATTAATTCGTTTCAAAATGAAATTTAATTGACATTCCTTAATATCAAGAAGAGTTATTGAATAAAGTCGAGTAAATTGACGTAGACGAATAAGTGAAATAAATAAATCTATTTGATCTGCTATTCGTTCTTCGTTTGAAAGTTTCAATGATATAACATGATGTGGATGGATTAATCGACAAAGAAGATGAAAATTTCGTTTTGAAATTGAGATTAAATTCAAAATATATCGATCATAGGTATTCACAAACGATCGAAATAATCGACATACATGTCGAACTGAAAAAACGATTGTTTCTGTGTCAAGATTATCCAAAATACAATGAAATAATTCTACTGGCAATGTCTCAATAGACATTTTTTATGTTGTTTGATGTTGAGAAGATAATTATATTCTATAATGAAAATTTTTTTGAAATACAATTACTAAGAAAGACATAAATAATCATATGTGTTAGTGGAAAAAACCAAGTATTTTTACGTCTGACTCAGGCTAAAAAGAGAACGGAAGAAAGCTGTATTACCTTTTTTTAGACACGTGAGAAAAAGCAAAAAAAAAGGAAGACAAATTTACAAACTCTGAATAATCGTTTCGAATAAGCTGAGATGTCGCTTTTGGTAGCAATAACATTTTTAACTCATTAAAGGTAATAAAGATAAAGAAGTTATTTGTTTATCAGAATTAGAGAATTTATTAATGCTTTTATCTATTGCCTTTTAAACGTTTCATTCTTTATTTTTGAGAAATATTAATAACAAACAAAATCTTTACTGATAAAGATTAATTGAAAATTCTTTCATCACTTTTATTTAAAACTTAAACAATTAACTTACTGATAATGGATTATTTCTTTTGGTAATGAATTGATTGGTATACATTATAGTAATATAATATTAATATATAAACTATTTAAATCATTTGTTTTTCTTCCTCTTGATAATTCGATCATTGAAAGAAGAGAACTACATCCAAGAATTGTTCTTTTGTATAACTAAACTAATTAAATATGAAACTTCCAGTCTTCCGTTAGTTCTAGTTGGGTGTGAGTGTAGCTTTGTATCTGCACTCTCTCCACAGCCACACCCTAAATCATGCTAAAATATTCACATAGAACACGACCTACGATAAATGTTTCATAAAAACAGATCAATGTGATATTTGTATTTATTGTAGTACGAGATTTTTAAAAGAAATATTACTTGATGTGATCCATTGGCTAAACCTCGATCAACACCTTTTTAGGTGAAAGTAATGCGAAATTTGAGTACTTTTCATTTTTATTTTTATACATAGTCGGATGCAATTTGATGCGCTGAATCTAAACATATATAGTATGTTCACCAAAAGTTATTTTTGGATATCAAAAATCCGAAAAAACTGCAAAAATGCAAGGTTCACAATAACTAGCATTTTTGGAAAAACGTACCTATAGCTCATTTACAGAATTTATTACAACATTCAAAGAGGGGGTAGGTGTGGGTGAAAAGAAGACCCTGATCTAGCCGAGTCCCAACTCACATCCGTGCCTACACCCTCCTACTAGTTATAGCACTTATCTTTTATGAAGAAATAATCTACGAGATATATACAAAAAAAAAATATTGTTCATACTGTTGACCGCTTACGTGCAATAATATTAAGCGTTATGACGCATTTTTTTCATGAAATTATTAATAATCCTAGATAGAACACAGTGAAAGCAATTGGTTGACATAAAGAAAAAATGAATTAGAGTTTAACATTGATCAATATAAAAGAGTGACATCATGTCACGAAAAATAAAAAAATCATTGAAAATGTCGATGTTCAACAATGAATTTAATTGGAACTGCAGGTCGCATAATAGCTTCAAAGGAGATTTGTAGTTCATCGATAGTCTGTGTGGTATGCAAAGAATATCGGCGAAACAATGTTGATAAAATAACCTTTTCTTCGAGCTGAGCAAAACGTTGACCTAAAAGAGAATGATCATTTATGCTTATTATTGATAGAATCAAGAGCAAAAAAGAGAAACTGACCAATACAGTTGCGAGATCCAGCTGAGAATGGAATAAAAGCATAAGGTGAACGTTCCTCATCCGTTACAGGGCTTTGATAAAAACGATCAGGATCAAATCGTTCCGGTTGAGGAAAAGCATTTGAGTCATAATGAACACCATAAATGAAAATATATAAAGTAGTACCCTTTCGAATCGTTTGACCATCTATAATAAAATAAGAAATAAAGATATTCAAATTAGTGTTTATCTTCAACATAAAAATGTACTTCTTCACACTCACTGCAAATAAAATCTTCTTGTGCCTCACGCATAACAAATGGGACTGGTGGAAGAATACGCATAGATTCCTATGTTCATATAAACTGTATCATCGAATGTATATAGAAGTTTATTGTTCCATTTACTTTTATGACAGCATCGAGATAGATCATACTTTGTGCATCTTCCATTGTGCATGGTCTCTCTTTGTCACCTATACAATAATCATATATGTGATCTTTAATTGTTAAAATAGACAAAACGAAAAAAACAAATACCAGAAAAGATAGCATCTATTTCAGCATGAACTTTTGCTTGAACATTCGGATGAGATCCAATTAAATAACAGGTAAAATTGATAGTGGCTGCTGTTGTATCATGTCCCTAGGTGAATTCATGATTAAGATATGATAAGAGCAAAAATAAAAGTATACTTCGAACATGAATGTATCGACTTCTTCTTGAATATCGTCCAATGTAAGTTGTTCGGAATTCATTTGAGCGAGAAGACTGTCAAGAAAGACAAGACGACGAGTAACTTTCTTTCCACTATCACTCGTTATATTCTCAGCATTGAATGTAGCGAGACGATCTTCAATAATCTATTGACCAGAACAAAGTATTATATTAATTAAGAGGGTGTGAGAGAAAGAAAGTGGTTACTTTGCGAGAGACTCCATGAAGGATTTTAAGTTGTTCGGCCTGTTCACGACCCAACGGCAATCGATCGAAGATCCATGCCGGCCACATCCATGGAGATCGTATGCGATGATTTATTATACAGCATACTCTGAAAAAAACCGATTAGCAATAGCTTGTCCACAAGATAATTTTTCATCGGTCAAAGATACTGCATCTTCTTTCGATGTAATAATAACACTTTTCCTCTTTATCTATCTGATTGTACATGTTATTCAATGAATCATTTCTTTTATGTTTATCATCTATAAGACTTTTTATCCTATATATAGTTGTTCAATCATTGCAAGGAGTTCGATTTAGAGAAATAAACTATAAGTAGCATTATGATCTTATAATTTTATTATACCGTCCGGTTGCTTCGACGAATTCATTTTTTCCACCGCTCGATTGAGCTTCAACATGTTTGTCCATGGCCGCCTCTAGAATTTCATATCAATGAAGAAATATAGTTTCAATCTATTCAATAGAACTGACCGGCAATAATATCGAGTGTACATGTCGATATGTATGGATAGAGATCGTATGCCTTCACTTCTTCCCCGTTTCGAATGCATTCTTCAAGACGTTTAGCAAATACGCATGATTGTTCATTAAATATGAGCATAAAATTATGTAACAGTTGAGTATTATGAAACGATGGTGTTATGAGACGACGACGTGTACGCCATTTGGCATTGTTACTAGGAAAAGGAAAATAAATTATGTAGGATCGATTGAACATTTCATCTATACCTGGTTAGTAGACCTGTCTTTAGCCAAGGCTCCATAAAGGTATAATCGAATGACTTCACCAATTGTTTACTATTGTTAATAAATGTCTGAAGTCGAGAGATAGAATGCTAACAAAGAAATTTAGTAGCATGTTCTTACTGCAAGGGTTTCTCCTGTACATGCAAAAATCATCGGCCAAAGTGAATACCAGAGACAAAATAAACCTGTTCTTTGTTGTTCTTTTTGACATTCTCTTGCCATATGCATGAGAAGACGAGAAAAGACATGTTGTCGTTGATCAAATTGATGTATATTACCAACGAATGGAATACGTGAAATAGGAAGAGATGGTATATTACGATAGTCTCGTCGTAATTTAGTATATTTTATCCAAATTGGTACCAAATAGTAAATAACAAAAGGAAAAAGTACAGTACATATTATCGACAAGGACAATAACATCATGATGATAGTCAATTTATCAAGGTCAACTAGTATAAAATGAGCATATGTTTGAAACTGTTTGTCAGAATATGAAAAAAAGAGAAAAAAAAACACCGAAAGATAAGAATATAGGCCACCAATCAATCCACATTCGGGCAAGCAACACAAATACACGTTTTTTTTTTCGTTCTATTCTACATAGCATTGATACGATTGTTGTTATCAACAAAAGATTTTTGATCAAGGTTTATGACATCTACGTTTTGTTGGCGAAAAAAAAACGGCTCATATATTATATTTCGATAGCTATAAATATGATAAAGATATTTCTATTCAGAGTTCTTCAATATTTCTCGAACAAGAGACAACTGAACTTATTCATTCAAAAATTTTTTATAGATTCTCGTATATTCGCTATCGATAGATGTCATTTATTTTGAATAACGACGACAATAAATAGCAGTTGCTAGCATTAATGAAGCATTTTTTTGTGCAAAAATGGTGAAAACAGAGTCCCATTGTCTTTTATCATATTTCGAACACTACTTTATCATCTAAAGAAATAGAAATAACAGTAGTATCCTTGAAATTTGACATCAATAGATCATCGAGTATTGTTGTCAATGCTAAAAAAATGTGCTGTTTTAGAGAGTGTAGAAAAAGAAGAACGATGATTACGTTACCGTAATGTTGTGATGATAAATCTTTCTAGGAACAAACCTTCCAAAATCTCGAGAAGTGTGGACTGTTTTCAATTACTCTGTTGTAAGAGATCATTTTTGGATGAGTGCATTATCATGACTGTCTGTCTTCTTAGAATTGTTACAATTCGATCAAATGAAATGAAAATTTTAGTATGTGTCAGATGAATTTAGAATTTAGTTGAGATTGGAATAAAATGTTTTGCAATTCTGTAATAAAACATATCATGAATGTATAAAACAAAAAACAAAACTTTGTTTGTTGTTAATATAATACAATTGTATTTTGAACTTTATTGAATAACAGAGATATATTTAGATTGTTATTCCATATATAAATAATAACAAGTTGAGTATATTTATTTTATTCAATAGAGTATACCTATGTCGTTCAAACCCAGTAGAAAGTTGCCAGTTAACCACGGTCAACTGGAAAATTAACTGTTCGGTGAATTGCAGTCTTTTTTGCCTAAAACTATTTTGTATCTGAGTGTATGAGTACTTTAGAACTCTTGAACAATTGTTAGATTACAGTCGAAATTACGTCTTCTTACTTTTGTAAGCGCGCTCAAATCGCCTATACCAATCACATTGACTGTTACCACGTAAAACTCATTTTTTTACACATACATTTGATGGAAAAATCTTCACCAAGAACTCATCTGATTGGTTACTTGTTGACCAATCAGATTTCGACTTACTTTAATGACCCATAGTATTCTCTCTTGAATAGTGAAAATCCCAAGTCTCTATATTGTTCCTATCAAATGTTACTCAAAATGAAGATGACATTAGTGAACTACATTTAGAAAGCAAATAGTAAAATAAATATGTCAAACAATACTTTCTTTTTTTTAGTTTTACTCTAAAAGAAAAACATAATTAACAAATAAATTTCTACATTTTATAAACATTTCTTTTAAATGTCAAACAACATATTTTTGGTTACTTTTTCTCGCTTTATACAAATATTCAAAATGCGTTATTTGATTTTATAATATCTTGCACGTGCAAATAGATAAAACTAAATGTGTTTTGTTCTATGTGTAACAAGAAACGATTAAAATTTTAAAAAAAACGTTAACAATCTTCACACATTGTTTATCAAATAATATAACATCCTCCATCGTCTATTTTCAATCTTTATGTTAACAATTCGTCCTAGTCGTGAAGATGATATTCCAGCTATTACTGCGATATACAGTTACTATGTATTGTATAGTACATATACATTTGAAACTATACCACCTACAATAGATGAAATGGCTAATCGACGTGCTGATGTTCTTAAGAGTAATATGCCTTATCTTGTAGCAGAAGTAGCAGATTCAATCATTGGATATGCTTATTGTAGTTGGTTTAAACCACGTGTTGGTTATCGTTTCTCAATGGAATTAACGATTTATCTTGATAAAGACATGTGTGGTAAAGGTTACGGTAGTCAATTATTAAATGCTCTACTACATGAAGCTGAATTAGTTGGTGTTCGAAAAATGATTGCATGTATTGGTGACTCAACTAATGAAGGATCTATTAGATTACATCGTGCTGCCGGCTTTTCTCATGTTGGTATAATGAAATCTTGTGGATGGAAATTTAATCGATGGATTGATGTCATATTTATGGAAAAAAGTATTGGTGATGGTGATACTACAGCTCCTGAATAAAATAACTATGATCATTCACATGACTCAAACCGCAAACAAAACTGTCAGTTTACTACAGTTTTTTTATTTTATTTGATCCATATCGACTTCTGAAGATTCATCTATACTATCGTTAGTTTTAAATATTTTTTTAATTGTTCACTTATTTTATTTAGATTTAACCAAAACTTTTGGCAATTTTATAAACCAGTTAACATTTTAGAATCTGTTGCGTGAATAAATAATACTATATCTTGTCTAGAATAATATATATATGTATAATAAATTTATTTTGGATTGAGTTCTAATATTCTTTCAGATAAAACTAAATTCGAACAAAAAAAAAACTTTTTTGAAAAATGAATAATGAATATAATTAACTACTATTATATTAAAATTAGCACTATTTTGGGAGTAGATGCAACGACAATTTATGAGAAATTTACAACAGCATTGGAGCTTAACACTTCATCGGATCCAACAATTACATGATGAGCGAATTGACTTTGTTAAAGATCCAGTCAGACAAACAACGCATCGAAATGTTAACGAAAATAAAATCGTGAAAAGCACACATTTTTACGCGTTCGTAGGAGATTCTAGTTTCGGAACGAATATATACTCGTTGAAAACTTTAACACATAAAATTGTACACTTTTCACGATTTTTATTTTAGTTAAAATCTAATGTTCATTATACCGAAATGAATAGATTTGGATAGAGCATGTATAATTCGCTTTTATTTTTACTAAATAAATGACGTATTTAATTTAGTTTAAGATTAAGGATAGAAAACTGACAACGCGACTCTATGTTAAACAATCTTGTCGAAATAACAACTTTTATTTCATATATTAATGACACTTTATTAATTTCTTTTTAGATCTAGCAATTAATTTAAAAAAATAAAACAACTCCAACAATTAATATAGAAATTCAATTAATCTTATTCTTATATAATTGATTACATTGAAATATTGATTTGTCAACACCAAAATAGATCAATACATAAAATCTTGATAACATAATAGTGCATACTAGAAATGTATAGTGTCGGTGTAAATACTGACAGTGAGTCACCTACACAAAATCCACTGGAGTATTGATTGTACTGACATCTACATTAGCGGCAACATTGAGACACCAACTCTATAGAAATATACTCTTTTTTTAGATGTGTATACCAGTGTTTCACTGACTACTGGTATCGATGCGCCCATCGGATTCGTTTCCGGATAAACCTCACTTTGGCACCCTTAATAGAATTTTCTAATCGAAATTGGATAGTTACCCCAAAGATACGAGATACTTTTTGCCGCTTTTTTTTGTATTCGGTGATTAGTGCATCCTACACATTTCACAGACGAGTAAAGCTCGCCGCGTCCAAGATGTTTGAATCCGGACTCGACCGGCTCCGGAACCAACCTGACGAATTTTATCATGTAGTTAGTGTACATTTGAATTCTAAAATATCAAGTTTTAACTTTCAAAAGATATTCATACAAAAAATGACTAGACTTTGACATTTGTTTGTCTCTTTTTTAAATGATAGAAGTATCTACTTCCCTTAATATGCTTATATAAGTGATAATGAAAGTATAGAACGAATGTACATTGACTTAATAAAACTAAACACTTCAGTTTTTTGTCACTTAGCATTTATGACTTATGAAAATTCAAGAAGAGAAATAAAATTAGTGCATTGTTTATTGACAAACTCTTAATATGATAATGATACTTGTATTTTATTCGCAAAAAAAAAAATTAGATTTTTGCTTCATTTATCTTATTAAACTTATAAAGAATAATTTTATGAAAAGATTACTAAAATATATCTGATCTAATAATGATCGTTCTCAAAATACGACACTCAATTATATTGTTTAAGTGTATGATAGAATAGATTAAAAATCATAGAATCAATAAAAGTTGATATTTTGTTAATGGTATACTTCTACTTTTACCGTAATCATTTTATTGTACATTTGTCACGTAACATATTGATAATATAACATTACCTTGAATTCAATATTATTTATCCGTTGGCCTTCTTTCATGCAAATATCAATTCTTTTTTTTCTTTTTATTATACTATTTTTATTTGACATGGTCATTTGTGAATCAGTATATGATCATTGCAGACGATAGAGAATGTATGTACTATTAATTGCTTTGTTCGTAACAGGTATTCAAGCTCAAAATAGATGCTCATGTTCATGTTGTCTTGGTCAATATTGTCAGCCTACTATAGTAGGTACGGTTACTGTGCAAAATTGTTCAACAGAAACATGCTTAACACAATGTCGTTGTTCTTATCCACAATGTGCAGCAAATTATCCATACGGTCAGTTATTTGCACAATGTTCATCGCCTGTTTATACTTTGTTCAATTGTGAATGTAGTTGTTGTAATACAGGCCTTTTTACATGTATACCAACATTTGTCGGTTTTACTACTGCATATGTATGTCAAGTAAGTTTATGTAGTGTAAAATGTCGTGAGGAATATCCAACACAATGTGTATCAAATGAAAATGGACAAACACAAGGTAGATGTACGGGTCCGCTGACAACAACAACAACAAGTACAGCAATTACTCCTTGGTTAGGTACTTTATGTTCATGTTCATATTGTCAATCAGGTTATACTTGTTTATCAAATCTATTGCTGGGTGTAACTTCAGCATCAGAATGTTCTTCATCAGCTTGTATACAAGCATGTCAAAATCAATATTTATCAACTTGTCCAACAGCTACTTATTTAAATCAAATTAATGGTGTATGTTTAACTGAAATCAAAGGAAGGACAAGATGTAAATGTAATTGTTGTGGTGGATCTGGTTGTATAGAATATGAACTTAATACAAATGAAACTTGTACATCATGTTATGCAAAATGTCTACAAGTATCACCTTGTACGAGTACACTTCCGGTGACATATACTTGTACTTTAAATAAATCCATGATATTGACGAATTATTCTCTTTCAATTATTATTCTAACATTAATAATTGTTGTGATTTTTTAAAATTAATCATGAAAAATAATAAAATGAGTCATTTTATGATGGTGAAACATCTTTTCATTCATTTTTAATAATTATGTTTTTTTTCCTATGTATTCAATTCAATCATTATGCGCGTAGAGGAATTTCATTACACTCTTACTCGCTAAAGACTTAAACTCGACTATTACATATTGCACATATAGTGGCGGGGGGGGGGGGGGGGGATTTATAATGATGAAGAGCATTGGCAGTTGTAGATATTCTAGTATTTCATACTATTTGATATATTAAAGATAAATATAAATTTTGCAAGGATTTTCCACTACAGAAAGCAAAAAATATGAAGGCTTCCTGAAGAAGATCGTATTCTACCATGACTACGGCGAAGGTGGCACTCTCTATCGATATATCAATGGTACGCAGTAGAACCTGATCATACGCATAACACTCAAGAGAGGAAATCTTTCTATAAAAGCCTGCATATATACTGTTCTGTAGTCAACATCTGCCCAGATAGAATGGTCAACATGTAAAAAGTTATAAATGATTCAAAAATGGCTTCCATTCCGATGATCGGTTAGATTCCAGCTGAAACGACTATTGTTCTTACCACCGATTTTATCCGGTTTTTAAGTCATTTTCATATGGAATCAAGAAAGTATCTTATAAATATCATTAGATATTGTCTTATGATGTTTAATAGATGAATCTTAATGATTTTATCTGTCATTACTAGCTGAATTAATTTCTAATGTTTCATGGTAGTGTTTTGCTAAGATAAAACTGGTCTTTACTCTTGTGTCTTAAATTTTGTTAATATCAGGCCACAATTAACTTTTTTGAGCTAGTATAAACATCGATGAATAGATATTGTTGAGATCTATTCGAAGATATGAGATGCGCTCTACAAAAACGTCTCCATGTCGTGTCATTCAATGATTGACACAATATTAAAATTGAATTATCAAGTACATGCACACATCTTCGCATATTCTTCGTTCATCATTTTTTTTTCCCTATAGATTATAGAACTCATTCATTGTGTTCTAGATGCTTACTAGAAAGTTTATCCAAGTTCTAATTATGTTGCTCACCACATATCGAATGTACCTTCACGTATAGTAGACTTAATTATTATATCTGTATATACCTATTTTTCAAACAATCTACTTTGAATGTAACTTGTCATGATAAATCCGTATATAAGAATGCTATTCATGTAATGAAATGCATTGCATCATAATAGAAAGTATAAGTAGAATGCTACGTAGGGCGCATTCCGAGTAATGAAAATAAGCCATATATGGCAAAAAACGGTGATCATTTTTCATCATTTAGGTCAGTAATTACACCGTTTCTCCGCTGTTTAAGATATCATTTCAGACAGTCGAAATAATCGACCTGGATCATTGCCACCTTTATCTGTTGTGGCACTAGGAATTTTGTTTTTTAGTAATTTACTCATAAAACATTATCGTTATCTTTATTATAGAGAAGATTTTATTAAGTACAAAAAAAGAAAATAAAACTAGAAAAAAAAATGATCCTTGAACCGTATCGGTATAATTGTAAAATTATTATCTTGTCGATTTTTTTTTTACTTCAATAGCCATCACTCAATCATAGATGTATGAACAAAAAAGAAATATCATATAACACTTAAATAGAAGTATGAAAATGTAAAAGTCTAAAGGTGTGCTTTATCTAATTTATTTAAAAACTTTTGAAATCTACATAGAATCTTTTAATAATAAACGTCATAGACGTAGAATTCATACAAAATTTTCGTCACATTCATTAATTATAAGAAATTTATTTGAGACATCCAAAAAAAAAAAAATAATTTATAAAATATATACACATAAAGACAAATAAAAAATAAATACAACATCAATTAAGTCTTTCATTCATTCCATTTGATTTTATTTTTGTTACCATCACTACTACTAAAACCGTTCGATTAATCATTTTAAATATAAAATGATTTGATTCTTTTTATTTTTGCATTTGAAATTAAACAATAAATATCGAAGATATTTATTCCACATCTTCTACATATGTTCCAGGAAATAAACCAATTCTTCCGTCTAAATTTCCTTTACACCATTCATCTTCTCGACGTTCAATTAACATAATAATATCTCCTTTAGAAAATAAAAATAAATAAATACAAAACAAAAAAAAAATGATTACAATTATTTAAACCTTTTTTAAGAGTTAGTTCATCTGTTTGTCGTGCTTTATAAGGATGTGTTACTCTAACATGTTTAACTGGTTTTTGTCGATAAGGTTCTGTTGATTGTGTCATAAGAACTGGATAACCTGCTTGAGTTGTTGCCATTTGATTATCTATATGAAAAAAGAAATAACTTTTTTATTTTATTTTAATATTTAAATTAATTCATGCACATTCACACATATGTATATCAGAAGTAATAAACATGCAGAAAAATAAACTAATCATATTTTCTATTTTCAACTTACATTTTAAATACGGATCTGATTTTGTAAATTGAAAAGAAAAAAAAGCAAGCATGTGTTATTATATTAATAAATAAATATTAAAAAAAGTGAATATGTATTGAATCTTGTTGTTTGTTTTTATTAAATGTCCTTTTTAGAGCAATATTTTTCAACTACCTTATTGAAATAAATTCTGATTAAATATAAAAGAAGAAGAAGAAGAAAGAGAATATATAAATGATTTATTGCAAAGCAAATTTTTATTGTTAATTAATAGAATATAAATTATTTTAAAAATAGTTATTAATATAACTTACAAGATATTTTACTAGATTGCAAAACATATCGTTGAGGGACAATATTATTTGCTATAATAGATAGTTAGTTAAAATAAATTGTTGGAATCTGATTAGTTTTTTAATCAACAAAGGACCTCGTCGGATTTGGTGGTCTGTCCTGAACCACAATGATGTATAGGTGTAGGTATTAGAGAGCTGTTGGACTACATTTTCGTGGATCCGATTATATTAGAGAGAAGACGATTAGCTCTATAATCTGAAAAAGCCCAAAACGATTTTTGCAAAATACTCTTTTTTTTCTGGAAAATCGATTTTCTGTAAAACTAGTATAGAAAGACTTGAGAGAGTTTCTTATGATCATATTCAGGATCAGTATGATCGATAATCTGTAATCAAGTAGCTTTTGATGAGAAAGCGATTGATCAGTTGAAAATATTCTCTCGGGTGATTTCAAACGAAAATTAAGTTTCAAAATGAAGGAAAATAATTGACATATTATACAAAGTCTGTCACATAAGAAAAACTGTTAGCACAATTTCTGTGGTATTAATTTATGGAACATAATATAGCTGCTGTTTCTAATCACAGGAAAAGTCTATTATTATGATCTTTGATCGTATATCAACAACGTTTGTCACGATCAGTGAACAGAACTTTACCCCTATACTTCAACACTCTTTGTAGATTATATTTCACAAAATGATGAAGTACAAATAGTCGGATAATAATTTAGAATAGATACAATTTTGTAATGTATATAACGGAATCAACAGAGAATAGAGTCTGTCGGGTTGATCCCAGACTCGATGAGCTCTTGCAGAAAATCTTTTGCTTTTTGAAGACTTCCTTATGACGAAGACAACTAAAATAAGTTCTCCGTAGAACATATACTTAGGGCATATCAAAAGTTCTGGCCATGGCGTTTAAAAGATCTTTTCGGATAAGGGAATCTATTGAGAAATGAAAAACCAAATACACCATATTGTAGAACTTTTTGAAGCGCGTCGAATGGTATATAGTAAATCTTGTTTTCATAGGACTTTGAAGAACCAAGAATCAATTTGGTTTTTCATTTCTCAATAGGTTTCCTTATCCCGAAAAGATCTTTTAAACGCCATGCCCAGAACTTTTGGTATGGTCTAAGTGGATATTCGTTGATCAATTTTTATATAAGAAAAAATTAATTTTGTTGCGTTTTGTTTTTTTTTTATTCTCTACCTGATGCTGTCTGTCTCATATGATTATCGTTAACTGTCCAACCAATTGGTGGTGCTTGTCTTTGTGTAGAATATTCTCTTATTGATGACTGCATTGTTGGTTGAGACAACATTGGCATTGCTTCAGCAAAGTGTCTTATTGATAATGGAGCTGATGGAGGTGTTTCTGTTGATGGTTGAAGTGGAATGCGAATAAGTGTTGTTGGATCTCCCTAAATATTCATTTGGTAAAATTTAAATCAAAATCAATTTTACAAACTTTATCATTATATGTTTTAGTTAAACGATGTGCATATTCAGAGTGTTTTTCAGGTAATTGTTTTATATGATTGTAAACACATTCAATTTTAAATAAACTTGCTTCATAAAGACATTGTAAAAGACGAGTCTTTAATAAAAAAAAAAACTAAAATTTAAAGAAAAACAAAAACAAAATTATAATTCTTCTTACACTCGATCGATCAATAAGTATTTCACTTGAGAATCCTTGAAAATTCAAAAATATTAATTAATTAAACAAAATATTTAAAATAATAATAATAGCAAGCAAAGTAAAAGTGAGCTGAAGCATCAATTTGATAGGTGCAATAAAGTACCTTCTGTATTTTTCTTTTCTCGTCTTTTATTTTTTCTTCGACGCATTGCACCATCATCATCGTTTGATGAAGACGATAACGAACCATCACAATAAGAAGCAGCACTGACTATAATATCAAATACAATTGAGCAGCTCAATTAAATTTTAATTACAAATACATATATATGTCCCAGGCAAAATTAAACTTTAGGCAAAATTAAACTTAGGTAAAATTAGTTTTAGTAGGCGCGAAAAAGGAAAATTTTTTTTATTGATTGTTGATCTGACTATCAATAGAAAAAAATAATTATTCGTTTGCATAAACTGTAAATAAAAAAGCAGAACATTCACTTTCACATATGTAATCGTATCATAAGTACAGTGATGACTTCTCATTCAACATCAGAAATTGAATCTCGAAAACAATTTTATGAACAAGCAAGTAAACATCTTTAATCTTTCAATAGTAGATTTAGAGAAAAGATTGTACTCATGCAAGGCATGAATGAAAAGATTATTCTTCGTCGCCTTACGAATAAGTCTTCAACAGATTTCGATTAACGTTTTACATCTTGGTGCTGCATTTTTGTTGTACAAAATACTGACTTGAAAACTTTACTATGCGATGCAAAAATTGATTAACCGATGCTACTATTTGAAGCGATGAAGAATGTTTAGAAATATAATCATGTTGAAACCGTAGCTTCTCAAACGAAATACTTTTTCGAATAATATACAGCTACTTGATGATTAAGTAGCTAATTGTTTTGTAACAACCTTTCGTTTGCAGTAGTACTTCATGTCACAATTTAAACATTATGATAACTTTTTAAATGAGCTTAGTTGGAAAAAAAATATATACAGCTATTATATGATTTAAGTATCTAATTGACTTCTAACAAAATTTCGTGTTGGACTTCTTTTTATAATCAGCAATTGAAGGTCTACCGCTACATAAAAATCATTGTACTTATTTAAACATTTTCATACATATCTTAATTGATTTGATAACTTATTACAAGCAGGTAAAAGAATTCAATTCTTGAAATGATCCTTGTTCGAAATAAAACGATTAGAGTGAATGAGTACCTGAGTATTTATTAAAAAAACTACGCTTATTTCTTTAATGTTGTTAGAAATTAAAAGGTTATTAGTTGACGAATTTTCTTTTTTTTTCGGCCCTTGCTCGAAATAGATCAGTTACAATAAATGGCTGGCTGAGTAATCATAGAACAGCTATGGTTATTTCATCAATATTATTAGAGATCAAAAGGGTATTAGTTGACGAATTTTTGTCATTTTTGGTCCTTGCTCGAAATATATCAGTTAGAAGACAGGAGTAGCTGAATATTTCATTAAACAGCTACACTTTTTTCTACAGTATCATAAGAGATTAAAAAGTTATTCGTTGACAAATTTTCTTTTTTTTCCCCACACGACTAATGCATGATGCGATAAATGTCTAGATAGTTTATCGATGAACTATAAGAAGTATAATCGATGTCTTTTAAAAATCTTTATAATACTTTGTCTTTCATGTCGAAAAAGAAAATATTACAAAAACCAATATTATCAATATTGCCAACAAGTTCGTTTTTGCACATTTTAACATCTATCTTTCACATTAATATTCTAAACATATAGAATAAAGAGAACTGTACCCTTGAAGTATATGAACAAAGATGTGAAAAAGGATTGAAATAAACATAATCTTAGTCCTCCTCCTTTTTTTTTCTTTTTTTTTTGGTCGGGTAGGCGTTTTCTGCTAGCGTAACTAGAATAGCTGTTTTTTTGATTGAATGATCAAAGTTTAGATGTAAATATGGTGCTATTTATCAGCAAAAGAACTCTATTAATCCATAGCAACATGTTTCAGGCATATTATGATTGATTATTGAATCATCTATGTGATTCATTATATGTTATCCGCTATTCTTGCGGTGATCATATATAAATGACTTTCCGAGAGATTAATATTTATCACGGTTTTTGTTGATAGCATTTTATATTGAATCGTAAGAAAGACAATGGCCACGTAAGTCTATTTATCGAGTTTTCTGTGAATAAACAGATCTTGTTAATAAAAATCAGAATCAAAACAAATAGTTGATATAAAAAACTCAACAACAATAAATTATTAAAAGAGTGAAAAAAATATCAATAACTTCGTTGAAAGACTATAATTGACTGCTATTCAAACAATATATATTGTCTAATCTTTCGAATTTCTCGCCTTTCAAAACTCAACGAGATTTCGACAGACTATACTGATCAATTCTAAAAATTTCTAAAATCAATTAAATTTTAATAGAATACAGTAGCAAACTCTACACCTTCCTATATTTTATTTAGATTTGCATAGAAAGACGTGGCGAATTCTACATCTTCCTAAATTTTAGTTAGATTTGCATTAAAAAAAGTGGCGAACTCTACATCTTCCTAAATTCAATACAATTTGTATTGAAAATAGTGGCGAACTCTACATCTTACAATATACTGTTTAGATTTGCATTGGAAAAAGTGGCGGACTCTACATCTTCCTATATTTTATTTAGATTTGCATTGAAAAAAGTGGCGAACTCTACATCTTCCTAAATTCAATACACTTTGTATTGAAAATAGTGGCGAACTCTACATCTTCCTATATTTTATTTAGATTTGCATAGAAAAACGTGGCGAACTCTACATCTTCCTAAATTTTAGTTAGATTTGCATTGAAAAAAGTGGCGAACTCTACATCTTTCTAAGTTTTAATTAGATTTGCATTAAAAAAAGTGGCGAACTCTACATCTTCCTAAACTGAGTTAAATTTCAATTAAAGTTGAATATAACTTAACTTAAATTTATAGGATCAACTATTTATTTTTATGTTTTTTAACTTTTTTAAAATTTCAAGTCTTTTAATACCTTTGTTTAATTTTGCCTAAATCTCAATTTTGCTTGACACATATATATATATTTAGAAAGCATCCACAAAAAATATATGATCGATAGAAATTACAAGTACAATATATATGGTACCTGTTTTTGAATGAGATTGTTTAGAACACATAGCTCCATCACCTGACGAATCTCGATCATCGTCTGGTGATGCTTCCTCAACTGATTTTTGAGGAGGAGCCGATTGTAAAGAAGATAGATTTTCTATAATAAAAATATTCTGTTTTTTTTTCTCTCTCTCTCTCTTTTTTGATTAGATAAGAAAAAATTTCATTCATAGGAATAATTAATATAAATATTTGAACAGAAAAAAAAAAAGATTTTTCTTACTAACCATTATTCGATTGTCGTTGTATTTCAATATCTTTTTTTAACATGTCTATCCAACGCATAAGGCTTAATATTCGTCGTTGTTCACCCATTGCTTGTTCATATTCAGCCTAAAAAATGATTTATTTTAATTAAAAAAATAGAAAAATATTATTATTCTTTTTTCTTTTTTGATTAAACATACATATATATCATAAAGTAATATTTCTATTTCAGTTGTCTGTAAATTTGATCGAGCTTCAGTAATAATATCATCATTTGGTGAAACTTGAATGGAATTTAAATCGCAACAAACCTTTAAACAAAAAAAATTTTAAATATTCAAATAGAAGAAATTTCACGGAAGTTCTTTTATTTTTCTTGTTATAAAAGTTAGAATAATTACAAATGACATTTTGCTGGGAAATTCTAATTTTTCTTAGGATTGCATCTAATCCACAATGCATATGTATTCACACAAATGCCAAGGTCTGTTGTGTTTAAACGAAAAGTGTTAGAAACCTAATTTTTTCATCCAAAGAAAGAACAAAATCTGTACTTTAAAATGAATATTTTCCAATTTTCTACGTTTTCATGATTTTTGACGAAAATTTTCAACATTTTTAGCATCATAAATTTCGAAAAGATGTCAAAAAGATGCAGCTTTTCAAGTCCTACAAAATTTGTATGAAACATAAGAAAAAGACATTGTATTGAGTTGACAAGTGACGGAACACAAAACTGTACTTGACGCAGATTTTCTCATAACTAGACTCGGCATAGCCAAATGTTTTTGGAATTAAATCTACGAAGCTGGTTAAAATTTATATTTCATTTTAAAGTATTAAAATTAACAGAAAATGAATATATAAAGGAATCTCCAATTTTATCCTGGTTACAGATCATTTTTAGTGGTTTTAAAAAATTCAAAATTTTAACATGTTGTTTTTTTTTTTAAATATTCATTTTGAAGTATAGACTTTGCTCTATATCTGTGAGTAAAACGACTAGGCTCCTAGTACTTTCCGTTTAAACACAATACGCCTCGACATTTGTGTGGATATATGAGCATTATAGGTTAGTGTCCTGCACAAGTACGACTTTTCGCAACGGAAACTAGTCGACATTCAACAGTTATAGTATGATTTTCTAATTTTTATTTTATATGAAAAAGTATACTATTTATAGTTTCTTCCATAAACAGTAACAAAAAAAAACAGAGTTCATCTCAGCTTCTAGAAAAGTGATTTTGGGATTCACTTTCTACTTCTAAAATCCGATTAATTTCGACTTTTTCTATCACGATGATGCATGTTCACCTTTTTTTGATAATTAATTTTTTTCTTCATGTATTCAATTCATCATTTGCAGATGAACTTTCATTAAAAACGAATTCTTTCAGTAAAATAATATTGTCTTTCACTGCTGTGATCTGTTGTCAAATATCATAAATTATTCAGATTTTCATTCCTATGTTTTTATATAACATCTGATGCGAAAGTCTTAGCACAAAATGTTCGTTCACTTTTCTACCACCTAGATGTCGCTATAGAGAATGAAAGATAGTCAGTTAGAATCAGAATTTGATGTTCTTTTTTGGATACTAAATTGTTTTTTCTAACTTAATGCTATTTAACTGTGAGCAAATGGTTGAATAGACCAAAACTGGTGTTGATACTAAATAAAATAGACTTTTTCTTGTTATTCAGAATTTCTCTGGGTGACAATTTAGAACAGTTTTTGACTCTATAGTATTGTAGACTATTTAATTTTCTATGAAATCGTGTATTATAATAAACTAGACCTAAAAATAAACAAAAACTATAGAGATTTTTCGAAGAGCTACTCTATACGTAAGATGATATTTTGTCAAAAATCGTTTTGTTTTGCACAACTTTGTTTCTCCAAAATGCAACAGATTTTGAATTATTGTTGTTCCATGTAAAAAGAAAAGTCAATTTTACATTTTGTAGAGCAAGGTTCATTGTACAAAATCGTATATAAGAAAATTTTCTATTGTTTGAACTGGAACAATTTTAACCAAAATAGGTAATATGAAAAAATTCTATACAGAAGTTCATTTAAGTATTTGCTTCTAATTAATAGACTTAACTCAAAAATAATTCTGATTCTTTCAGAGGTTAAACTATCAATTTGAAAATGTACCAATATTTTGAAACGTCAAATTTTCATTAATCACAGGGTCGGGTATGAGATCATACCCGAGACCTGAACCGAGTGCCAAGTGCAATTTCTTATTTTTGGAATATATCATCCAGTCCTCTCTTCATCTAACTTTGTTCAATCGGACTGAAATTTTTACCATTGACACTTGAAAATATTCTACAGAGGTAAAATCGGTCGTTTCTATATTTGATTTTCCTACCAGGATTTACAGAATCCTGAAAGCCGAGACTTCGGTTTTAGGTCGAAACTTTTACGTATTTTTCTCATGAAAAAAAGAAAGTAAGACTTTTGGAAAAGCTTATAATTACTTCTGAGATATAGTCTCAGGTATGTTTAACCCAATCAGATAAAGTTTGATGAGAGTTGTAAGCAACTAGGAGATGATCCTTACGGAAAATGAGGGTTTCGCAGCAAAAATCTACTTGAAAATGTTTTCCTCAAACACATATCTCCTTATTTTGCTGTGCTCTATCTGTGGTAAAAGTTTCAACTTGATCGGTTGTTCCATCTTCAACAACCAGAAATGGTCAAAAGACAATGGAAACACCCTTAATAGTTACATTCCGAAAAAAAAATAATATGCTAATACAATGATCAGTTTTCTATCTCGACAAGCACATGGAAATAATGTAATAATAATAAAGAGTTTTGACAACTAAACTAACCTGATTCATAGTATCAGTGAATCCTCGAATTGAATTAACATAGGTTTGAATAAATTTATCCATTTCATTGATTCTTTCATATTCCATTTTTTGCATTTGATTACAACCCTAAGCAAAAAAAAAACATTATACAATTATTAATCAATTAAAAAAGTTTTTCATTTAAATATTTACTCGACACATTTCAACAGCACATAATTGTCTTGCTATTTCTACATTTTTTGTTGAATTATGATATTTTTTTTCTATTTTTCCTAAATCTTCTTCGGCTTTTTGAATTGTCATTTCCATCTATATAATAGAAAAATTAATTAAATAAATAAAAACAAAAAAAGCAAAAAGTCGTGAATATCAACATTAGTTTCACGTTAATCAAGTAAAATAAAAATGACCTTTAGCAATTATTATATTAGTCAAAAAACAAACCGAATAGCAGTTTGTGAAAAAAATAAATCTTACATTCGCCTGATATTTGCAATCAGGAGTTGAAGTCAGCTAATCAAAACGAAAACACGAAAATAAAACAAAATATAAACCACCTAGGATTAACTGAAAGTAGTGACGGAAGTATTTTAATTCCTTAAAAAAAAAGTTTAATGACACTTTCTATATGGTCTGATAAAAGCTATTTGTTATAATACGTGACGATAATGTTAGATCACATTTTGTTTTTTTATGTGTAACCTTTTCTTGATATTCTCTCTGTTCTAATGCTTAATCATCTATACACATTAGAGTATAGAAAAAGTAATGACAGAAATACAAGTTTTGTTTTAAATAATTCTCCCAAAATGATTTTTAGTTATTCAACTTCATCAAACTAAATCTAAACGATTGTATTCAAGTTCATAAATTCTTTAAATAAAGACGAGTATAAAAAAAAAAAACTTTCGTGAATGCAATGAAATCAGGACGATTATTTCGAACATTTCATAAAATAAAAACTTATTTCTGTATTTCTTTTTTTTTGTACGTTCTACTGCCACAACTTTTTCTATATCCTAATATGTAAAGGTGGCTAAGCATTAAAAAAGGTCAGAAAAAAGCGAGAAGAAGAAGACAAAATATGATCTAATATTAGTATCATATATCATAACAAATAGCTCTTATCAAAATATTATTATTATTATTATATTAGTTGAAGCATAGTCAAGCATCACACAAATTTAGAATTTGATCTTAATTATCAGATTATATATAAAGAAAGTTTCTTTAATCGTTTTTTATAAAACATTAAAATACTTCCGCCACTATTTTTAATATATCCTAAGTTCTATATTTTCTTTAGTTAAAGAATAAATCATATTATTCATTAAAATAAATATGCACATGCAGCTTGATAGCTGCACTTACGAGGGAACATTGCCAGGTGTCTCGCTCCAATTTCGTTCGTTTATATGTCATTCGATAGAGGACCTTGAGTATGTAAAAAAGCTTAAAAGGATTGCGACCGACAACTTTTTCTTCGAGAATTACGACCAGTTTTCTGATTTTCTCAGCGAAAACTAACGTAAAAAGAAAAATTCATAACTTCATCAAGGAAACAGATTTCGGTTGGTTTCTTGATGGAGTTATGAATTTTTCTTTTTACGTTAGTTTTCGTTGGACAGATCGGAAAACTGGTCGTCACTCCCGAAGAAAAAGTCGTCGGCCGCAATCCTTTTAGGCTTTTTTACATACTCGAAGTCACCTATCGCATGATATATAAACGAACGAAATCGGAGCGAGACATCTGAGAATGTTTCCCTATTAGATTGACAATATTTTCCATATACAAAAGAAATAATTGATAGCTTCTTTGAAATCAATAAAGAAACCCGAACACCAAAGACACTCGTGTGTGATTTTCATTGTGATTAAAGCAAGATATTGATTAGTAGAGCAATAAATATTATCTTGTTTCTTTTTTCTTTTTCACACCTTTTCAGAAGCACTGATATGACGTCCTCCAGGTAAAACACAGCTCATGACCAATGGTGTCGACATAATATTTTCCTATATAGGATAAGATTTGTTTTAATAAATACTATAATTATCTCACCTTTGTTGAATCTCTGGCCATTCTTCTCGATGTTTTTGGTAATGAACTTATATTAAGATGTAATGCTTCAATTTCTCGAGATTTTTCAAAGTGACGTGAACGACACTAAAATAAATGAAGAAGAACAAAACAAAAATAACAATAAACCATTAGTAGATTTTTTTTTTGGCTACTTTATTATCAATATCTTTTGCATTATTCCATTCTTTAAATTTTCCATTTAATGTTTCTTCAATCTTAACATATCAAATCAAATAGAACAAAAAAACAAGTGTTTTTTTTCTCACTTACCGATTTTCTCTCTTTATATTGTGTTTCAGCAAGATTTTTCATCGGTATAGAAATGTCAGTTAATAATATATTAGCCATAGTACTATGTGCTTCACTTTCTTTACTTATCAGTGTACCAAGCACTGTAAATGCTGTGAAAAGTGTTCTACATTAAAAATATTGTTTATTTTTAGAGAAAAAAAAAGAATATATATATTGTTTTTTTTTTCTATCGAATTTTTTTGTTACCCTTTCGCTCGACCAGCAAGTTTTTGTAATGTATCACCATTCTTTCGAAGAGCTCGAGCATAAGCTGTTTCAGCATCACTTCTAAAATGAAATTATTTTAATTTGAAATAATATAAAATATTTATGTTGATTTTGTTTTTTCTTACCGTTCTTGTAAACATTTAGCAATATCTGTACAAAAATCATTCCCATTTCTCATTAGTTTTTTTAAGGCATCATAACCTTTTTCACCCTAAAATAAAATATAAAAGTTTAATCGAAAAATGATACTAAGAAATATACCACAAAACAATCACGAAATTCTTCTGGCATTTGATTAATCGATTATCTAGAAACAACATAAATTCTATTTATTATATATAGATTAACAATAATGTTATTCATATTTCTCTGGTAGCATTACATACATGACTCATATATAGCTTCTCTTCCTTCTTGAATAGAACTTCCTTCATTCTATGTAGGCGTTTATTTGTCGTATTGGTACTAGAGCCTCTGACGACAATGATAGAGAAAAGAGGAAGAAAAGAAAAAGAACGAGTTTGTTTCTCTCCCTGATAAAAACTTGTACGAACATCAACTAAAATTTTTCTGTGTCGAAAAATCTATCGTAAGTTATAGTCGAGTTTTTACAAAAAAAAAATCCAAAACTGACTTTTTTTTTTTGATACCGTTATTAACTAATAAACGAGCCTTGACCTAAATCATCATTTTTCTTTCTTCTTTTTTTTTTTTTTATTCTTGCTGCTTACCTGCAAGTATGAAAGAAAAGAATGAAAAGAAAAAAACATTACGATCGAGTACTTATCGACAAATCAACACATACGCACACAGACCCACATACTGGAATAGCGTATAAAATAAGAGAAATGTTTGGGAAGGACAGAATGGGGAGAAATCGGCAAGTTAATTTACATACTGAAATTGATCCAATGATAGAATGTCAGTTCGTTTATTATTGCTCTGATTGACGCAAAAACGAAACAATTCACATGCTAAATACATATCTCTTCAAAAAGAAAAGGAGTTTCAAAAAAACAAAAAAGGTAAATTTAAACAAATACTATATGAGTAAAAAATAAATAAATAAAAATAAATCACAGATGACATATCAGATTGAATAACATAGAAATAAATTGTATTTTTATTTGAAAAATATTTTTTACATCAATAGATATTGATTTTACACAATCACAAAAATTCTAATATTATGATTAAATTTCATGCTTTGTTACTTGTTTTTCAGGTTGTTATCGGATGTCGATTCCATGGTGTTAAGATAGTTGTTCAATGACTCATTTTATCTACTAACCATTCATAAATTAAGTCCCATGGGATGTCGCTGATTATTGGTCTTTAATCTTTCTATATAACACATAAATCAATATAAAAAAATGACACTTTTATTAGCACTTGTAACATCTGAATGTTTCTCTCATATTAAGTAATATTGTATCATTTTTTACTAATAGGTTATCAAAGAATAATAAAGATATTTTTCGATTCAAAGAAAAATAAAATATCTGACGTCATGTACATAAATAAGTTCCGTCGAATACAATCAGAATAACTTCCTCTTTCAATTGAAATAGAGATTTGTCAGTAACCTATAAAAAAAAACGTATCAATCGTTTTGCGTATTATTCTATTATGTCCATTAAGCTTAAACGGTATATAAATATAAATATTTGACAATCGATTAAATTTATTTCGTCATGACATTAATGATATTAACCGTACCTAATATAACCTGTATAAAATTTTCAAATCGAATCTTTGAATTTAGTGAATTTTAGTTTTTGATTACAAAAAACAAAATATTTTTTTGTCTGAAGATTGGTTGGTACTCTTTAAAATAAATATATTTGTTTATATCTAATGAAAAAAAAAAATTTACATCCTTACAACTCTATCCTATGATGGTTATGATGTGACCAAACCTTTTTAGTCACGAATTGAGTCCGAAAAGTTTGGACGCGTTGAGTTTTCGTCATGAAAATTAGTTTTAGTTTGTTAGAATTTCTTTACATATACAGTATGTGTATTTTATTGGCAAAAATCCAATATATCGATAAGAATGTATTGAAGCGAAAGAGAAGAAAAACAAAATTTATTTCTAACAAAGATATTCCTGTTGATATCTCGAAATAGAACAAGAAGTATCATACATATCACTTATTGTATAGAAAAATAGTTACAGATACTGAATCTATACAAAAAAAGAACGAGATCATTTCTATAGTGGAATAACTAACCAGTTAACAGAAATACAATATGTGTGACTATTTCAATAAATGTGATCGAAGTCCAATCACGGTTACAATCACGAACTTTTAAGAAAAATTAGCAATGATCATAATTGTGAATGTCACGTCGACCCCTAAAAGATCTTCATCTATTGGGTTTATAATGTTATTAATATTCTTGTGTAACTAATCGACTATTATTAACTTTGACAAATAATGTCTTTATTTGTCTTAAATAAATGCGTAATACTATACTTTAAATTGGACAATAATCTGGCACATAGAAAAATATTTTTTTTATTTCTTAATAAATCATAATTTTCACAATAACCATGCAAATATATAATCATTCCAGACGACATGCAGTGCCAGCTGCGATCGATGTCTACAATGAGAATACTGTCACATCAAATATATTTTTTTACCCATAACTGTAATATTTATCCCATAAGCAACTTGATTACTCATGTAACAAAAAAGAATGAATACATCGTCAATCAATGTTTTGCAAGTGAAGCTATAGTAATTTTTTTTTTTATCAATTGATCACTTCAAGTAGTAATAACATGAAATAATAATGTAAAAAAAAACAACTCTTATTTCTATACCTCGGTATTGATTGCATTTTATAGAGTTTCATAGACTATGTAGGAATAAGAATAATAGTTCGTTTTTATTTTTTTAACGCTAAATTTGCAAAGAATCTAATCATATTACATAAGAAAAAAAAATCTGTCGCCTGTGAAGAAAACAAAATTATATTGATATAATGTTACCTTTCCCAGTATAATGTATTTTGATTGTTCTATGGTACTACTTTCATATTACAGAATGTATTCACTATATTGTTTACGATTGTGTATTATCCTACAACTTTTTCTTACTTGTTTTTCGTAGCGCTAGAGCTTTTTGATGTAGTTCAATATAAGATAATCGATTGGTATGTTCTGATTGTCAAACTGTTCTTTCATTATATATAGGAATTTTCTCCTCTTCAGATTCATAACTTGTGCTGGTTGTACATACTTTTTCTTTTATTATGAAATAAATAATGTACATTGCCTGTTGCCATTTAAATTGAAGGTCTTTGTGAAGATGAAAGCGTGATGTTATGAATGTTAGTTGTACCGATGTGAAATGTAATAAATAAAACGAGTAGTAAAATTCACGAAACTTTTTGACAATAATGAAAATTAATGTGAATAGATATTTTAAAATATCTTCTTGATAAAAAAAAAATGTTTACAGAAAGAAATGAATAAACTTGTACGACAAGTATTGTTATTTTAGATGGTTCTTTTTACGTTATCAAATTATTGAATTCTTATAAAGTCTTTCTTTGTATTTTTATTTTACCAATGAAAGAAATTTTCAAAGTTTAGGCAATACGACTGCTTCAAACGAATGAAAATGTATTGATTATATCTGTCTGAAAGAAATGTCATTGTATTTCGAAAGCAATTCAATTCAATCGTTAGGAAAAACAAGCGGTCCATACAACACATATTGTCATCATATTAATTAGAATACAACTGAATTTTGCAAGATATGAGGTTTTTTTTCTCAAATATTGTATATGTTCAAGTATTACTAATCATAGAAATAGCTTTATTGACATTTTTATTAGAGGCTGTAACTAGAGGTGTAAGTCGATGAGTTGATCGGCAGTGGCGGCTGTTAGAAAATGACATTATGTTCTGCCCACGGGACGGCGATTGAAGGGTGTGGATGTGGGTGTGAGATTGTGCGTGTCAGTTCTCTCTTCACCAACACTCATATTCAAATCCGACACACACACTCACACTCATCCACACCCACATCCTCACAAGGAAGGAAAAGAATCGAAGAATTCCAAGCTTTTCTAGGCATCTTACTGCGTGGAACATTGTGAAGAAGCTAGAGAATCCAAGAATTCTAAGGCTTTTCAAGCATCTTGTTCAGTCAAATATCACAAGGAAAGTAAGGAATCCAGGGTGTGGGTGTGTATCTTACCTTGAATGACGTCCACAGCCACAGCCACACTCACACCTTCACAGTCGGAAACCTCAAGTGTGAGCCAAAAACGTTCACCTTTTGTTGATTTTAGGCCAATTCCTGTACGTTTAAACACGTTTTTTCAAAAGTTTATCTGCCTGGGCGGCAGTCAAAGGTTCGCCTCCTGCAACTATTTGAAGATAAGTGCAGGCCTCTGTGAAAGTTTAGAAACTTTCTCGTCTGACTATTGAAGAAATATATTTGAAAAAATGGCTGAAATTAACAACAAAGTTTATTGCTCAGACTCTGAGAGAAATATGATTCCTTTAAAAAGCAGAATACAAAATCTTAACTCTATTAATCATTAATAAATATAAACGGTAATTGTCATTGTCTTCCAATTCTTCTTTTAATTTTTTTTCCAATTAATATAATCAAAAACTATTAGTCAATACTACGTCGAATGCTCTTCTAAAGACGTTCTTTTTTTTACTATGGACTCTATCGTTTACCAAAATTTGAAATTTCGTATACCAGTCGTAGATTGATAGGATTAGTTTATTGCTACAAAATGTTTTCGCATCTATTTGCAATCTTATTTGATTATTGTGTCGTTGAATTTCATTATGTTTTTTTTTTGTTGAATGACTATTCTAACTAATTTATTTTTATTAGGAATTAGGTGATAGTTTGATTCATACATTCCATTAATTTATAAGTGATCACATATTCATCTTGACGAAAGTTGAAATCAATAAAAGTAATTGTTCAATAGTTTATTTTTGAGGGTGTGGCTGTTTCTCTTCTTTGAACTCATATCCATGCCCTCACTTGGTACAAGACGTTTTATTTAGAATTATCCACACTGTTGATTGATGTATATATAATCCAATTGTATTTCTTTAGTTTTTTAGATTATCGTGAGAAAGACCATTTACCACGATGTTGTACGATCCTAAAATGATCTCAAACTGAAGTTCTGAATATCTTAGTATATCCACAATTCATTTGATGTTCTTAAGCTTCAAAACAGAAATATAATATAGTGAAATGAATTGTCTTAGATTTGCATTTTGTTAATTCCTATTGAGAACGTCATATAGGGTAGAGTTTATTGCGAAGAAGTCTTTCTTAACAATGGTTTTCGTGAGAATGTATGATTTTCAGTTATCAATTACAAATTGTGTGGCATCAGTAGATAATGAAAAAAAAAACATTTCTGCTAATTCGTTTTTAATTATTATAAATTGACGATGTGAAGTTGACAATAGATGTCTTTTATATAGAATAAACAATCATGAACATCAATCAAACTGTGCCATAAAAGCTTGTTATAATCATAATTCAAATGGAAGCAACAAAGTAAAATATTAGTTTTCAATTGGAATTTGTAATGCTTTTAACACTGTTGGTACCATAATATAGAAACTTCCTGTCAAAATTAATTCTAAATATTCAGCTTCTGTAAAATATTTTTTTAATTCTTTATCCAATTCTTCACTGATCGTACCTCCATTTTGAATTAATGATTCCATTAATTCAAGTACCACTTTTTCTTTTTCATCAAAAAGAGAGCTTTTTTGCCATTCTTTTATTGAATCAATCTTTTCTATTGATATACCACATTGTTTTGCCATTTGTTCATGTTGAAACCATTCATATTGTGAATTAAAAAGTTGGGCACTTCGAAGAATCATTAATTCACGAAGTTGCCGTGATGTTGTACAATTACGTCGCAATGAATAAGCAAAATCAATCCAAGATCGAAGAAGCGTTGGATTATTTGCTAAGACTTTATAAAGGTTAAGATCAGGTCTTCCATCAAGATCAATAATTTTTTGTTGAAGTTCAAAAGGAATATCTTTTAATGGTAATCGTACTTGACAATTATTGTCTTCTTCCGACATTATTTTTGGTTTCGACCTACAAGGAAAAAAAATATGAACTAAAAGCTTTAAATACGTGGATATTGTATAGTAAAATGATTGGCAAGAAACCAACATTAAATAGAACATGATCTTACTTGTATCGCTTCAAAATAACAACAAAAGAATAGCTACACACGTTTCATGTGATGCACAGTAAGGAAAGAAAAAAAAATCTACGCTTTTAATCTATCGCAAGTAGTTATACTTGTCTTTCTTTTTCTTGTTTGCTATGATAAACTTTATCTATATCCAAAAGTACTGATGAAAAGATTCTAAAATTATATGAAGAGTTGTTCGATAATTTATGTATCATTCACTTGTGCAAAAAAAGTTGGATAAGTTATTCAAACAAAATTTAGAGCAAACATGAAAAACTCCATTAAACTTGTTAAATATATGTATTACGATGCAGCTCTATCAAATCTCGATGTAAACTTCTATGAATTCACTTCTTTTCTTCTAAATCTTAACTACAATCAGCTTTCATTTTGTGTTTTTGAGTATGATACTATGGTCATGTTGATTTAACAACTGTTTGTATTTAACGTTCTATTAGTCTAAATAACGTTTTGTATGCATCGTCTATCGACATATGCTGTTGATGCTGATTTATTCTACTCAAAAAAAATCGGGTTGATTCAAGGAAGAGTATTCTTTTATTCATCGTTTTTACTTAACAATAAAACCTATGACATACCCGTTAAAAGAAGAACATTTAACTAATTGGGATGCACTAAAGTCCAGTGAAAAACCAGTATTTAATGATGATCAAAATACTTATATATAAGAACAATCTTCTATTGTATCATTACGTGAAAATAACCTACTATCTATTCCAAATAATAAACATTTATTAACATCACTCTCACCACGCACTAATCTACCACAAAAGGAACCTCATACTCTTCGAGATCTTTATAATGATTTACCAGAAAAAGGTATACCATTTGCAACTCAATTTAATAATGCACGAAGGGAAGAAAAAAAAGAAAACAAACTTTTCGTAAAGTACCACCGGGTCAAGGAAATCTTGTTCCATTACCTGAAACAAAACCACATGCAATGCATGAGAACTATTATCATTATTGGCATTATTATAAGCTGAAAACTCCTGATGGGAACATGCATCATTGTCAAACTACTGATGGTCAACCAATACCTTACGATGCAATTGATCCTTCACAAAATGCTCACGAATCTCTATGAAGGAAGTCACCAACAACAACACATCGACGTCATCGAAAATCTCATCATAATAACCATGATATATCTATCACGAAAAATAATTCAGCTCGGCAACGTTATGAAACAGTTGAGAAAGTATCATCATCATCACCTCCAATATCGCATGAAAATTATAAACAACAAACATCACTGCCCAAACAATACACACCTGTGAAAGATGCTGATAGTATAGCACATTTGGATCGATCAATTAGACAACGAAATTCACAATAACGTCACAAATTTAAGACTGAAAATGATTGGGATGATCATTCTGTTCAATCTATGACGGAGAAACCATTGCAAGATTCAAATAGTCTAACTATAACTTCTGACACTTCAATACGTCTACCAAAACATCATTCCAAAACAATGGATAACGATTCCACTGATGAAATTATAAGACATCGTCATGTTCATCATGATCATGGTCATCATCATTCTCCTACTCAACCTCAGCAACATCAGGATGTGCGTGTCAATCTTCCTGTCTTCCACACCCACACCCACACTCACACCTATACTCACACCCACGCCCCACAAAAAAAAACGACAGGAGGAATTCAATTGGTCCCCACACCACTTTTTAACAGGTCAAAAACGAACAAACATTTTGTCCAAAAACTTTCCATCATCCATTAGGATCTGCCAGAGCTTGTCAATATCGATCAATATCTATCAGGATCAATCCGAAATTTCCATACTTCACATCAAATACGTATCTTCATCCTAACCCTCTCGTATAGGATGTGTGCTGTGCGTATTTGTGCCCTTACCATTAAGAAACTATATTTTGATTTTGTGAAGTCACATATCCTATGATAAACCTTAGTCAATTCTGAAATATTGACATTACATGTGTTTAATTTAATGGTTATATTACTGATGGGTGTGGGGGTGGGGGTGGACTTTCATTTCTCCCACACCCACACCCTATTTTCCTTTGTATATATCCTGCAGGCTTCCTTTTGTTGAAATGGGAGATTTAGAAAAATTATAGGATACGTTCTTATAGTTTCTCTAGTTGCTCCATCACAGTAAAAGGGAGACTGTAAGATGTATACTACTGAATATATGTTCTTTTTTCTAAGTCCCCGTAGTCCTCTCATCCCAATAAAAGAGGAACTAGAGGATTTATACTAATTAGTATACCTTCGTCACTCATAGTCCACGCATTGGTAGACATCTGTTATATATATCAATATTCTCTTCTTCTCTTACATGTAGCGAAATGAATTGTGTTATCTAAATTTTGTTATCTCCACTGTTTGGAAAAGCTATTTGTGATCTTTTTCTCTAAAATTGAGTTCCAGTTGAAAACAATCAGACTTTGATGAAGAGAAGTTGATAGGGACGAAAAATATTGAAGTGGTCTGCGTAGTTTTGAAGGTTATTTATGAGTATAATTCTCAGATATCCAGGTCATAAATCACAAAAACTACAGAAGAGTCTTTTCTTTCAGAACCTAGAAAAAACATTGTTAGATCAATTAGACGCACAATAATTCGTTGCAACGCATTTCATTGCTGGTCTATTCAGAGCAAACAAATTCATCACACAAAAGCAAAATGAAAAAATAATGAAATTGAAAGACATGCTTCTTTTTTGGCTTCTTATCCAATGTAACATACGATTCAATCTTCGGAATAACGAACAATCTTTGATTACAACAATAAACCGTAGAGTTGAATTGAAAATGAATTGAATTTGCAGAAAAAGAAATCTATGAAATAAAATAAACCAAAGATTGTAAAACTTAAAATTCAATTTGTTGATATGGAATTTTGATATAGAGTAATACTAAAAAGATTCTCGTAATCTGATTTTTAGCAATTGATGGTACTCATTTTGCGTTAGTGTATGTTTCGAAGTTTGAACTAAAAATAAACGAGAGTGTAGATCGAAAAATATTGTCGAATATTCTGCTAAGAGCTTAGCTCTATTTACATCTCAGATGTGAGAATTCTGGCTTTCCCTATACGCTATTAGCTGAGATGTTAGTCTAGTAAAGAGCCCAAAACTGGTAAAACTAGTTTTTTCGTTTGTTCAATTTCTTCCCTAGACCTTATTATTTCATACTCAATTCAATTTCAATATAATTCTATATTTTATTATTGATATTCACACTTATTTATTATTCCAAAGATTTACTTGTGTGTTGCATTGAATAAGAAGCCAAAAGGAAGCGCTTCTTTCGATTTAATTATTTTTTCTTTTTGCTTTATACAACAAATAAACTGAGGTCGAAATGAGCGACAATGAATCATCTGTGCGATGGATTTCTGATTGATTCTCAAAGAATATCATCACAGTATACTAATGTTCAAGCTCGTTTGACATCATTGAGTTTAATCACAATATTTGCATTGAGAAATAAAATACTTCCATATCTCAATTGAAAGAAAGTTCCATTGATTCTATCCTACTATTGGAAACTATTTGTGAATCTGTATTCTCGATTTCAATTTTAAATCGAAAAAACCATAGACTGACTTGGCTCCTTCCTATTCAAATATACTATCATATGATTCCAATTATCACCTACAGGTCTTCTACAACAAGTCACACATGATTCAAACACCAGTGATTTGTAGGTGCTACGAAGCTTACAACTTTTCTTTGCGTGTTGCATACAAAACTAAAAAAAAATCTGAGTATTGTCAGTGAGATTTCAAGAAAAGAGGGGGGGGGAGGGAGGAGTGAGTGACATTTTCAATTAACTCTCGCTTGTGCAGCAATTTTATGTATATGAAATTCTTGGCTTTGTATTAGATGTAAAAAAAGAAAAATATCTCAAGTCAATTTTTTTCATTAGAAAATTTATTTGATGAAATCTGAGTGCTTCATCTCTATATGCAAGAAGCCTTTGTATAATATACATCTGCTCATTCTGAAGAAGTCTACAACATGCATATTTATCTACTAATTCTTTTTCTCCTGTCTGCAATATATAATACGACGATGCATCAGTGAAGTGAACTACAAACGCTCATTTTCATGTCGAACACAATCGCACACTACAATCAAGATCAAGTCGATAAACATAGTAAAATACAGGGTAATCATTCTTATCCAGTAGTGTTAACTATACTTATAGATCCGCACAATATTTCACGTTATCCTCCGCTATCAGTACCATCTGTCCGCAAACTTTCTCATCAAGTGCGTAACTCACCATTGCAATTTCTGTTTATTTTCTTACGAGTCATTCAATCTAGTATCATCATGAATTGACAAAAGATATGCGATCTCGTTCTGTTATCCATGTAACCACTCGATCACCCAAAAATAAAATCCATCCGACAAAAAATCAGTCTGCCAATTCTCAAGACATTACTTTCCCGGTTATTATATTCTTAAAATCTTTGATTATTCATATTTTCTCTTTGTGTAAATAGATGTCAACTATGTTAGCTGCGCGTTATCATCAAGATAAATACCAGGTTGCTGTGATTGGAGGGAAGGAGGAAGGAAAGAAGGAATATATGAGAGATGTCTCTCCCCAGAATAAATCTGCCAAACAAATTGCCAGTCAAAATTTTGGTATATCAATAAACAATCGAACACATGCCGACAATGACACCAAAATGAATCTATATTCCCAGTCACCAATACAGGTAAATAGCAAAACGAGGAGCATGCTCATTATTAGATTTTATACACCTAAGTATTTATTATTGAAGATCTGGAAATTATTTAGTTTTCGTTCTATGTATGAACAAGTTCTTATTTGAACTATACATCTTCATCGAATTTTAGAAAAGGTCAAAAGTTCTAATGTCCGTTTCAAAAGATAATGCGTCCCACTGTTTTTTGAATAACTCAAGAATATAATCTGATACAGACGCGCGATTTTCACCAATCGAAAGAATAGACAGGGGGACGTCTTTTTCTCTAAGATTGTGTCAGACAAAATCATTTTAGAATCAGTCATTTCTGCAAAATATTGCTAAAAATGCATCAAAAAACGATTCGACATTCTGAAGAAATTTTCCTTTTGACATGTGATCTAGGTAGAGAGACTTCGGATCTATACTTCAAGATATAATTCGAATGATTATCTTACCGCATTCTAACGTTGAGGAAACAAAATCGTCTATTTACTCACAAGAAAACTATGAATTTCTTTTGATTTTTAAGCAAATTTTCTTCCTTTTTTGTCAAAATTTCATCTGAGTGACAGGCCATTTTTTCGATGTTCTACAGAAATAACTGATTTTAAAATGATTTTGTCTGATACAATATTAGAGAAAAAGACGTTCCCCTGTCTCTTCTTTCGATTGGTGAAAACTGCACGTCTCTAGCTGATTGCGTTCTTGAGTTATTCAAAAAACAGTGAGACGCGTTATATTTTGAAACGAACATTAGTTTCGTACAAACTTCGATAGAGAGACCGTTCAACAATTTTTTTACTCTAATAAGTTTATCTGTGTACAACTGATATGTTTGACCACATACTCTGTTAGCTAAACTTTTAATGAAGTGACTCTCCCGACTGAGAGAATGACCATTGTAATAAAAATCTAATGTTTTTCTATAAGGAAACGATTTTTATGTATGTTTTCTACACTTTTTTCTCCTTTGATCAATGGGCAACGTAATTTGGATCCACACAATAGTTAATTTTAAGAAATAGAATTTATATCTAAAAAGTTTAGTGAGAAAGGATGGAATAACAACAGAACTAGAGAAGTTTAGGATCTTGTTGCGCAAAAACTGCATTTTGACGTGTCTTCAAAGAAAAATGTTTGCCTTTAAGCATCATTTACATAAAACAAACTGGAAACGTATTCGCTTACATAGTATCTATGTTGAAAAAAAAGTATTTCAAAAGGAAAGTACTAAATAAGAATTGAAAACACAATGAAATACTATCATGTTATATATATATTTCAACAGCCTTTTTCTTAGTTAGTTTTCATATTGTAATCGAACTTTTCCTGGTTCCATCAAAAACATATGCCTTAGAAAACAGATTAGAGATTGATCAAAAGTCAGATCATAGATTGAAGGAGTTTCGAGAATATATTTTAAAAATACAACGAATAGTCAACAAGTATTTGTTGGTAAAAACTAAACTTACTTAGTGCTCGTAATATTTGCATTTCTATTAGTTAAATATAAAATTATTTTTCTCCCAATGGGTCATATTTATATTTGAGACGTTATTTCAAATAATTTTATTTGATTCGATGATAAAACTGAAAACAAAATGGAACTATTTATCCTTTTTCTTTTGTTTATATTCATCTTTTATATTAATTCAGACAACTGGGTTATTGTCAGATGCAGTGGAGTATCAGGGTATCCATCACCAAGCGTCGAATAGAAATAAAAAGAAACGGTAAATAATTGTTTTGCATTTTTTTCTTATTAAGTTTTAAAAATCGTTTACTTAGCTACTTTAAACACATTCGTTGCCTATGTTCACCTATCTGTTTATTTCTGTCTCTACTTGCTCTTCTACTTTTTGGCGCGGGCATTTCTGCAATGCTTGTCGCATTGATCGGCATCCCTAAAACGGCAATAACAACAACAGCAGTGACCACAACAACGGCAACAACAACAACCTCAACCACGAAAACAACAACTTCAACGACGACAACAACAACCTCAACGACGAAAACAACAACCTCAACGACAACAACAACAACCTCCACGACGAAAACAACAACCTCAACGACGACAACAACAACTACTACTGGTAAGTAGTAGGCTAAATAGTTAAATATTGTTTCCTGTAACGGTTTAATGAATATATTTTGAATTCTTGAAAAGTGTTGAACTTCCCATATACTAAGATCGTTGAAATACGTCAACTTTGCACTTCAAATATCTCGAAAAATGGAGAAACATCATGTCAGAAAACAAAGCCCATTCGATCATGCGCAACGAAGAGAAAAAGAAGTGGCTGCAGTTCCTCGATCTTGTCTCCTCATTTTCGATGGTCTATAGCTTTTTAAAGTTCAAAGAACCATTTTGATTGAATGGATGTTACTTTTTTTACCAGTGAATTAGGCATATTTTGGGCTGATAAAATAGATTAGTCTTTAGTTAGTAAATCAAGTTTCTCTTGAAAAATATTGATAAATAAAGTTGTAGAATTTATGCAGTCAGCGCTATTCTTTGATAAATCTATATGCTCTCTAGATAAGTTTTCAACTAGTGTCTGAAACTCAAGATGATCTTACTTGAAGGCAGTTAGAACTCTGATAGAACTCTGAAGACTGGATTAGATCGAACGGGTTCGTAGGATTGACTACAATACTCGTTTTTTTTTTATACTTATTTAGTCGACGACTAGCACTTTTCCGGTATTTTTTCTTGAATTATGTTCTATTTCATATGATTTATGAGATAATTTGAATAAGATTAGAAAATATTTTACTATAACCTTGAATTCCAGTTTCGGCAGTTTTCTCGAGATCCTGACTCGGTACTGATTCTGGTGGTCGGAACTGAAATCAGAATCAGAACTGGTCGAACATATCTCTAATCATGCTGTGGTTTTGCATTTTGTATTACAAGATATTAGTATAACAATAATAAATTAATTTATGATACACGAAAAACTTTACTTGAAAACTAACAGAGTTAAGAACATCATATAGTCTCGGAGTCCAGTTCCGCACATCTTTATTCGCATCTTATTGAACATAATAAAAAATGTTTGAAGGACTTTTTTATTTTCTATATATGTCGGCATAGGTAAATGATGTAATCTCAAATTTTTTTGGTAAAAGATGCGCCGTCGAAACAAGAGGAAAAAGTGGGACTTCGGGAGTGCATACTTCCCTGTACTTCACTCGTATTTCACCGTGCTTTAGTTCCTGTATAGGATGATCCCTATAACTTTTCAAGAGATATCGATAGCTGCTGCTTAGATTGGACCATTTTTAAAGTGAGCCAACTAAAACAAATCTTTAATAGCTTCACTTAACCATTAATATTAATAAAGAAAGATCAACAACCTCCTGTTAATTTGTTAATATTAAGTGCTAATGAATCACTTAATACTTACTATTAGGTTAGGCTTTTCTCTTTGCCACTTTACTTCAAATTGAGTGAGTCAGTGATTAGCATGAGGTAAATACCATTTCATTTTGGTATGTTCCTTGTGCAGAGGCTATGTTTAAAGAAAAAACGCTTTTGCATACAGTTTTATCAAAGGCTTCGGCCCCAGAAATCCGTTTTGGTATGGCATGCCTTCAGCCAATCCGAGCACCTCATTTTTATCCGGTTGGCGATTGTCTTGAATTTGGTCAAAAACTCAAAATGGTTCAAATATCGAAAAGTATGTGTGCCGATAATCACAGGTTATGAAAGTAAAAATCTCCACTATTCTCACATTCTCACATGCACCCTTATCTTTGTTTTCGACCAAATTCAAGTTTACCCGTACACCCCGTATTTTGCCAGATAATAAATTGTCAAAACAATTTTCAAATCACTTGATTTTGTGCTGAGAAGAAATATAACTTTTTTTTCAATTGAAACAGGTGTTTGCGATCACGCTTATTACATTCAATCATTAATGATTTACTTAGTGATTGGTCTTTTAGGTGGCTCAACTACAGTAGGCACTCAGCTTGTTACTAATTATATTAATAATGGAAGCGGTGTAATTCCATACACTCAATTGTGGTTTTTCGATCCAAATGGAACTGTTCGAAACGCGGCTGCTGGATTGGTGATTCAGATCAGTGGTGGTATTTCCGGAACGAATCTCGTTCTAGGGACAAATATCGTGGCACAAAATCAAATATGGTTATTTAGTGGCGTAACGATGTCTTGTCCAGCTGCAAGTAAAGTTATGGATATCCCAGCAAGCAATGCAGCTCCTAATACATATGTTATTGCTTGGTCTTCGAGTGGTGGTACTAATCAAAAATGGACCAGAATCCTATATACATGTTGAAATTCAAAAAATGAACAAAAAAACATTTCTAAACACTGCAGCGTTCATCACCGGATACGCACTTTTGTCAGAAACTTGCAAGCATAGCTCAAGTGAATCTAGAGCTCTGATTCTCTAGTTTCATAATTTACTTGATTTGTTGACAAATCCAATTAGATGACGAAACAGTTGCGTGTCTCGTATGAACTACAACATATTTCGACTCTCCGTAAGAATCTCTATCACATATTGAGTTTCAGATTGAAAATCGGAAGCACCGATGAATTTCTAGTTTTATAATATATGAGTAATGAAGAAAGGTAACAGCACAATAGCATTTCAGAAAGAAGAAAGAATAGATGAAGAGATCAACCAAGTAACCCATAGAGGTGGGATGTGGATGTGAATATGTGTATTGTTTCCACACGCAGTGTGGGTGTGAGTATAGAAGATTTTCTAGCTCACACCCACATCCACACCCACACCTACGCACAGCCACACCCACCCACACTCTCAAGATTTTTAACCAGTAGACCAAACTCTGAAGCTTCAAGTTTTTCTCGAACTATATGATGTCGTTTAGCACTTCCTGTAAAATAATTATACAGTTCTTGTAAAAGATAGAATAGTGAAATAAATTCTGTACTACAGTCAAAAGCATACTTAACTGCTAAATTAGAAGAATGTGCCCCCAAGGTATGAAAACTACTTCTCGTTGTAATTTGTCATTAACACAGGCTTGAACACATTTGTTTTTACCAGACATGTCGTTACAGTTGTCATAACATTGAGCAATCAATTCATTCGGTGAAATATTCAGCTGTTCCATTATAGAAAAAAAACATGTTGCAAATATCTAAACCAATTTTACTTGACAACTCGACCGTCGAAATTAGTCTTTCTTCGACATTGAAATTGTTTGTAAATCGAACAACAATCGTACAAATTTCTCTATTAGATACATTAGGTGTACTATCTATCATTACCGAATAGAATAAAGAGTTATTAAGACGAGCAATAATTGTCTGTTGAACGTGTTGTCCTAACAATTTTATGAATTCATCTTGAGATTGTGCGCTTAGATAGGAGACCTACACAGGAAAAATATATAGTAATATGCTATTTGTGTCTTATTAATAAGATCGTATTTGTTACTTGATAAACGTTAAGTTTTTCCTGATGGAACCAGTCATCAAATATTTTATCGAGACGCCGTAGAAGATTGATCAATTGAATAAAGTTACCTATATCATGAATAAGAAAAGCAAAATGTCAAGAGAATTAAAAAGCATCAATGATCAGTTTTCTCCATTACCTTCTTCAGCAGGTTCATTACGAAATGGTAATCTCTGATGGGCCAAAAATCTGACCGCGTCAATTAATGTAATAATAATATTTCTATTTCTTTTAAGTATTGCTTTTTTCTGCTGTTTAGCTTTTCGACAATTTTCATTCAGTAAATTGTCGACATTGCACGATTTATTTTTGAAAATGAAATATCGTTCATATGAAGCTTTATGAGCAACTGACGAAAAATGGGCCTCTAATTTTCCTTTAATAAAAAAATGAAAATGTTTGACTGAAAGCGATTAATCTTAGCATTAACCTTTTTTTATCACACCCTGGGCCTTTCATTTTCGACCATGAGTTAACACCGACTTCGATCCATGCTTTATCTTTTTTCTGATCACCAGGACCTAAATAAGTATCAAGACAAGAAATGCTAATGAATGAGTCAAGTATTAAAATACTACCTTCATGAAACCATCTGTAGACAAAACAAAACGCCGCATCTTTTATTATATTATATTCGATCATCAGATACTCTGTGTACCACTTGCCGACGAACTTGCAGGTATCTTTGGCAGTGGACAAAACATCATTTCTTAGAGAACTTGATAAAAGTGGTTGGAATGACCCAACGCTTACGAAAAAACGTCGTTCTTCATCTGTATAATTGTAATTGGTAGGATAGCCACCTAAGTGTGCAAATATCAACGAACTGATAGGAACACAGATTTTCTGGTAAGAAACTTACCAGGATCACGTTCCATAAATGCTCGATTCTTTGGTTCAAACAAAGAAATATTATCACGATCTTTGTTTAATTGATTAATTCTTTGAGAACACAGTTCCTTCGATTCACTTGAACAAGTAACAAGATCAGTTGCATAGTTGTACGTAGCTTTCACAAATTCTTCATGTTTTACATTTGTTGATGTTGATTGTTTGAGAAGTACAGTACATTGAAGAAGCATGGATTCAATAACGCGAAGTTTAATTTCACATTCACTCTATCCTTGTTACTTTATCTATGAGAAATTTTAGTGATGCCTATCAGGTTCTTCCACTCATAGTCAATATAGTGAATCTGGTTCGATTTTTCCAATGGCTAGTATTACACTGATTCAATATAAAATATTGAATTAAGACTTAAATATTGGGGGCCACATCTCCCCGCTCGCGACAGCTCTGCTCATAAGTCTCAGCAATAAGATCCGCATCATCGCTTAACAATATTTTATTATTGGACGAAAGATGCTGTCTCAATCCAATATGATTGATATGGGTAATGATGGATGATAAATCCGATTCGGTTAGTTTACCATTCACCATACCAGGTTTCAGGTATGTTGATGGAAACATTTTTTCAATTTTTGTAATAGCTTTTTCAAGTTGTCTGAATGCATGTGTTTTGGCACTTCCTTGAAAATCAGAAAAGAAGGTATGATCGAAAGAAGAAGGAAGAAAGAGGTAAAATAAAAAACAATATGTGATAAGAAAATCTTTGTATGATACTTAGGTCTGACCAAAAGTTCCCAGATTATTAAAAAAAAATATAAAGACAAAGAGAAAGTTCGAGTTTTATTTTATTAAATATTCAAAATAGTCACCATGATTATTTATACAAAGTTCCATCCTTTCTAATAGTTTGTCAAAAGTTTTTTTAAATTCTTCTTTCGGAATTTTTTTCATCACCTTGGATACCGCACGAGCCAATGATTTTTCATCTGGTTGATCAGTTAAATTACGTTTGATGTAATCATTTAGCCAATAATCACATGGTGCAAGGTCAGGTGAATATGGTGGATGCGACATTATATTGATATGTTGTTCTGTTAAATAATTAATAACATCGGATTGAATATGGGGCCGAGCATTGTCTTGGAGCAGTATTATACCTTTTGTACCTGCTGACTTTCTTTGTTTCCATATTTCCTTCACGACAGGCTCGAGGCAATTTTCAATATAATACTTGTGATCTATAGTCTTGCCTTCGTCAACAGCATGTATAAGAACAGGACCATTTGATTTAAAGAAAATAGAAAATAAATTTTTTGGTTCGAATTTACCTCGACGAACAATAGTAGTTGGTGATTCATCTTCGCCAACCCAGCTTGCGTTTGTTGACTTGCGATGAATCTGCCTATGGTAAATCCACGTCTCATCACCTGTTATAATATCACATAATCGCCAAGAACCATCACGGAATTTCGCCAAATTTTCACGACAAAGTTTAACACGTTTTTGCTTTTGTTCATCAGTCAGTTGATGGGGTACCCAACGTGATGTAATTTTTTTCATCTTAAGACAATCGTGGATAATTCGTTCTATTGTACCATGAGAGAGAAATGTCTCAGCTATAATATCATCATAAGTTGAATGTAGATCATTGTTGATAACCTCTCGTACTAGTTCAATATTTTCATCTGTCAGCTCGGATACTGGACGACCAAATCGAGGATCATCATTGACATCTTCTCTTCCTTCACGGAAACGCTTTGCCCATTCTGCAACTGTTGGATATGATGGAGCCTTGGATCCCAAAGCTGTTGCAAGTTCTTCGTGAATCGTCTTTGGATTTATCCCCAAAATAGTTCGAATTTTTATATAATATCGCTTGTATTCATTATCCATTTTTGAAAATTTTTTTTTAGTTCGAATTAAAGTTTATCGAAAAAAATACTATAACTAAGTCCAAAAGAGATTTACTATATATACTATCATAGATAAGACATTCCACTATTTATCCATGCACAACACTCTTCGATATTAATTGGCTTATAAAATTGCCAATAGCAATCTGGGAACTTTTGGTCAGACCTAAGTATATTCAATTATACAACTTACTATTCTCAACCATATGAAAAACCTTTATTTACTGAAATGTCAAGATATTACAAAGCTAAACTAATATTTATTTTCTTTTAACAAATTAACGTTTGTACAATAAAGCAAGCGAACAAAAATTAATCTTGTACATCGAAGTTTTTAAAAAATCTTACAGTAAAGAATGAATAATTATTCATTAATCTCGTTCATTTTTTAATATTCTCGATCATTCACGTTTAGTATGATCTAGACTTGTTGATGAAACTATATATTATAAAAAATACATGGGATAAATAACATTTTATATGTATGTTATAGAGAGATTCACATTTTTTTTCCTCCAGATGTCGTACAGAGAACAAGTGCGAGAGATACATATATATGTTGTTTTTTTCTTCTTTTCCTTTCTTCCATCTTTATCTATTTTGTGGAACTCACGTATATTTTCGAAGAAAATAGTGAGTGTAAGTTTTAAGTTCGAGGTTTGGCGGCTCTCCCCCCCCCTCTCCCTCCATCACAGACACCTCCCCCTCCCCTCATTACGGACTTTAGCGATAGAGAATAAAAGGTGTCAGATTTTCTAGAGTTTGAAAAATTGCTCAAGTAATTTTGAAGATTAGTCAACATCATTGTTTGTAAGTTGGTTAACATATATATAATAATGCATAAAATCTGGCATAGGTATCATGGATATGTAAAATAGACTTATTTGCCGATTCAATGATTATAATAATAAGAATATTAAATTAAAAAAACACGAATCAAAAAAATAATAAAAAATAATGAGCGAATAGCAACAATGCAAACAAAAAATAGGGCGCCTGTAGAAAAAAAAATTCTATTTTAAATTTAGAAATAAAAGTAGAAATAAATAATAAATTCTCGCTCTTGTCATCGATTATTAGTGAAAACAACTACAGTCGACGAGAATTTTTTCAGTTTACGGATGATGTATTAGGATAACAAGGTTGAAGGATATACGTGAGTTCCACATTTCAGCTCCGAAGGAGCTGCGCTAACAAGCTTTTTCAATTGTTTTGATTGATTTTATTCAAATATTTTCTCTTTAATGTTGTTTTCCTAACTCGTCTATTATGTATCACGCACATTTTGGAGAAGAATTATCTTCTTGATCCTTGACCTATTAAATCAATTGACTCGTATATACTGTACTTTCCTACTTTTTGAAATTATGGCAACATCATTGCCACGCAACAAATTTGCATTATACAAATAGATGCTCATTTACTCCTACGCATTTCTACATTTCATGCTGTCAAAAACGAAAAAAAAAGGCTATATTAAGAGTGCTGTATTATAAAAAAGATGCAACCTCTTCAAAGAATATTTGAACATACCACTGGAACCTAGCAACCATAAATACAATTGTACTAGACGATGGTCGGGACTGGCATAATGAGTATAATAGGAGCCTTGAGAAAAATGTGACATAATTGCTAATGATAGAAAAAAAGATAAACAAGGTTCATAATTATATGTATCTGTGTGGATCGTCAATAATCACATTTGTTCTGAATTCAGAATGTTGGACATCTGAATGTTCATTTGTGATGCTGCTGCTATGTTTTTTAGAATCATTTCTGAAATTGTTTTATCACCCATAACGGGTGAACGTTTCGACATTTTCGATTACGAAAATAAAATAATTATTTATATCCACAATCTCAAAAAAAATCTTTTCGCTTAAAAATATGAAATTTGATAAACTGTGTGTTTTCTTTGGATTCATTAAAATACAGTTCTATTCCATACAACTAATAAATTTAAATTTAATAAATAAAGACGATAGAATCTGTTTACTTAACTAATATATTGATTGCATGATCGTTGATCGATTTGATGACAATAACTTTTATTTAAAAGACGTGATACTTGGCGTGAACTGAATAGTACATTATATAGTAGTGAAAACAAAGATTACATATCACATATCAAACACTCGACAATGAATGATATCTGATGTAGAGATAGAAGAGATTGTTACTTGATGTTCTCGATCAGCTGATGTACATATGTTAAAACTATTTCTTTTCTTTTCTGTTTTCAGTTTTAAATCTCATATGGTACTATATTTTTTTCTTTTCTGTTTTCTATCTTCTTTATATTCTTGTCCAGCTGTTTTTAAATATTATTCTATTCGAATTCGTCACAAAAAGGAAGTCAATGAATTCTAACATCATATAAGGATACGATAAGTGCTAATAATTTTAGAAATAATAAACAAACCCAAGAA